ATAAATAATGAAATCTGGTTGAACACTAACAAAATTGATTTAAATAAACCCCTCCATTTCAGCAAATCTGAAGTTGTGGACAAAAGACTATGTACCAGTAATGACGTCTACTAGATAAGCTGTACTTTGTGGACATATCAAGAGGTAGTGTAAACAGGTAGTAATATATGAGATTTACCTTCAGTACACGGGCAAATATTAACATTCCCCACAACGATTTCAGCTCAGCAATCCGGTCACACAGTCTTCACGAAGGGCTTGGCTCCGGGGCACTGGGCGGAATGGCTGAGTGCACACGGTGAAGGCATGCCCCCGGGACATGCTCTCAAACTGCTTTCAGGTCACGAGGAAGAGCCCCACGCGGAGACTAGACACAGGTACTTGCGGCCACCACAGGGCGGCACTTGAGTGCGCCAGGGTGGCAGTGCAGCTCCTGGCCCACAGCGCCGGCAAAAGGGACAGGCATGTTCAGCCGGCGGTTGAATTGTCTGCTCTCTTTCCTGTTTAACTATTTGAGGAGGGCTATTCCCTGTAGCTTTTCATAACATTCTGTCCTCGTTCTGTAAGTAGGACAATTTTACTCCAGTTAAAATAAAAACCGCCCTAGCCGGTTTGGCTCGGTGGATAGAGGGTTGGCCTGTGGACTGAAGGGTCCCAGGTTCAGTTCTGGTCAAAGGCACATGCCTGAGTTGTGGGCTTGATCCCCAAGGGGGTGGTGTGGGGGTGTGTGTGTGTGTGTATGAGTTTGTGTATAAGGCAGCCGATCAATGATTCTCATCACGGATGTTTCTATCTTTCTCTCTCTCCCTCTTCCTTCCTCTCTGAAATCAATACAAATATATTAAAAAAAATAAAATTAAAAATAATAATAAAAATAAAAACTGAACTATACTTCATAATAAACACCTCATCTTCTCCATACAGAGTGCTGGCTGTGTTTGTTTCCCATCCAGGTTTTTAAAAACTGAGTGTTGGCCTGGCTGGTGTGCCCAATGGTTAGAGTGTCAGCCCTGGAACAGAGGGTGGCAGGTTTGATTTCTGGTCAAGGGCACATACCTGGGTAACAGGTTTGAACCCCTCCCCGACTCAGGGCGTGTGTGGGAGGCAACCGGTCAATGTGTCTCTCTCACATTGATGTTCCTCCCTCCCTCTTCTCCCTCCTTTCCACTCTCTCTAAAAATCAATGGAAAATATATCTTCACTCCTCAGGTGAGGATTTAAAAACAAAGCAAAACCACCACCCGGAAGTGTTCAAGATAAGACATAGCTTAGTTCTCATTTTTATTAAATATGTTTTTTAAGGAATACATTACACTTAAAGTTCAATACCATAAATAAAGATTAGTTTTTAAATATTCTATTTTTACTTATTTAAAATGTAAACATAAAAGAAAAAAATTCACCACTCCTTCCCCAACTCTGCCTAAATGCATTAAAAAAAAAAAGCCACCCCCTACGTAAGTTCTTTCTTCAGAATGAGTAGCCCAGTCTTTATTAACGTGAGTCCTCCGGGCTGCGAGCACGCGGCACGATGCCTGGAGCCCGCGATGCCTGGGTCCGAGGGGCTGAGACGGAGTGTCCCCTCCTGCCAGGATGCGCAAACGCCCGCAGGGACAGGCTCTTCCCCTTCCCTCGGCGTCCAAGGCCATGGGCTGTGCGATGGCTTCCAGCGCAAGACGCTGCGACGAACATGGCGTGCCAGCAGGCATACTCTCCGAGGCGGCTCAGGCCCGCAGTTACCTAGCCATTCTGGGTCGGCATTAGCCACGGGACAGCAGAGCTGGCGAGATCCTGAGAAAGCACCTAGTCATTTTGCAGTGGATTTCAACCAGGGAGTCTTCTAACACTGAAGAGGATATTGATATTACATTTTAAAGAATACTGATATGCTTATTTACACCTATTTAAACTTCATTAATTCATGTTTCATCTTCACATAATCATAGACTCTAAGCCAACATATTATGCTGAAACTAATTTTAGCACAGTTTATAACCTTTTTAGAATGTCTATTTGATCTTAACAAAAATAGGTATCCTTAAGAAATCAGTAAGGGAAAAGGATGTTTTTTAGGAGAATATCAGAGGGGTTGACATGAAGACTTCCTAACTGCTTGCCAGTTTCTTTAACGCTGTCAGCTCAAATCTACTGACATGGCTTTTGCTTCCTTCCTGCAAATTCTTTCTTGAAAACCTGAGAGACAAATTCATTTGATACAATTGGGACCTTAATCCTATCAAAATGAACCTAAGTCTGAACGGAAACTGAGGTAGTCAGAGTTGTAAGCACTTGACACTTTGAGTCAGAAAGGACTCCAGTCTACTACCCCCAAATCGGCTCCTCCCTACTCTCCTTCCCTCCCCTCCCCCCACGGCTGCAGTCTGCTCCATCTTCCTCAGGAAACTGGGTTTGCTAATATGAAAGGTATAACCTGCTGCAGAATATTGCCAGTTCAGCCATTTCAAATTCTTCAGTTCAAAGCTGCATTCTAGCCCAAGTAATTCTGTATTGAAACCTCAGATTTTAAAATTCTTCGTTTTTTAGAATATTGTCATAATCTGAGTGAATAAAATGTGCCTCTTAAATTTTTTTTTACAGGCTCAATGGCCTTCTAAGTCTTCATTGATTAAACTATGCAGAATCAGTGATAGGGAACCACTTTCAAGATTTGAAGAGGAAGACAACAAACAGCACATTTAGTTATCCTCGGAAACTCAAGATTTGTTAACATTATACTTTATCAAGTTTCACATTTGTGCAGAAAAAACACTGGGATACCAGATTTCAAGCTTAATAAATATATGTAGAAAAAATGTCATCTATAATATTTTCTCCAGAAAGTCATTAGTGCAAATATAATTATATCAATAAAGCAAAAATATATTTCAAGTATAAAAAGCACCATGCTCAGAAACAATACTACTTAAATGGCATCACTGCACAACAGTCAAAATATAATCAAACGTATCATTGCAAATCTCACATATAGTCTTAGTCCATAATTTTTTGGTGAAATTCTTTATACAACTTTGCAGGATGATCCATAATCACAATCAGAATGTAAGTTTAGATTTTCATGGTTTTCTTAAAAATATACTCTATACTTTTCTCGGATGTTGCACAATTGAAGAGATACATGACACAGGCAGCAAACAGAGCACTGACCTGACACCTTCACTATCGGCTTCTCTTTAGCTGAAGGTGGATATGCTAGAGACCCCAGCTTTCACAATGAAACACCTTGAAATTCAAAACTGCACATATGAATACATATTTAAAATTTATGCATTGAAAAAGGCAATTTTCCTTTGCTGGGGTTGCTGTTTGGCCCCAGGTCCAAATAATCTGCTGGAATTACTCCTCAGTAATTATGTTGCTTGCTCACTTTGCACAGTTTCTTACACAGAGAGCTGGATAATTATATACTGAATTAAAGGGCTAACCAATGAATGAATGAATGAATGAATGAGTGAATGCATGCATGCATGTTTTCCCAAGTCTGTGTTTATAATGCCACAGGACTTTGTTAGCTTTTGAGATAAAAACTGGGATCATTCATCATTAAAGAATGTAATCAGTAAAGCGAGGTGATAAGCTCAGAGTAGACTTGCTTCTGTGGACCAGAATCTACGTGGTAACAGAAGGGCCAAAAGCTCTTTTTAAGGGCACCACCTCCTTTTAAAGTAAAGGCTATCCTAGCCTCTGAGGACTGAGCCGTATGTGGTGCAGTCAAGAGAGCCCTATTGCCGGGACCGGTTTGGCTCAATGGATAGAGCGTCAGCTTGGGGACTGAAAGGTCCCGGGTTCGATTCCGGTCAAGGGCATGTACCCTGGTTGCGGGAATATCCCCAGTAGGGGGTGTGCAAGAGGCAGCTGATCGATGACTCTCTCTCATCGATGTTTCTGACTCTCTATCTCTCTCCCTTCCTCTCTGTACAAAATCAATAAAATATCTTAAAAAAAAAAAAAGAGAGAGCCCTATTGGGTGGGCCATACACCAAACCTACACTTTGCTATTAGTAAGCGATTCAGATTATCTTGTTTTGACTTATATTTTTCTTCTTGTATATAAAATAATTTTCAGAAGTTCTTCTGAAACAATTCATAAGCCCATGTGAAGACAATTTGCATACCTGTCTATCCCAGGATTTCTTTTTATCTTCATTGTAAAAAAAAAGGATTAGTTCTATTTGTTGTTGGATTATAACTGTCATATCTATTATCTGAAAAACATTTTTATATTCTCTTCTGAATGCACATCTTAAATGTTTTTACAGAGCACATTACTTTTCTCTCTGCTTCTAAACGAATGGAGGATACAACAGGAAACTGAGTACGGAGATGTGGGAGTAACAGGCGCAGCTGGAAGAGGGCTACCAACACACCATGGTTCCACAGTAAACCACCACACAGCTAGTTTGAAAAGGCGAGCATGGTTAAATCGTAACATTTAGCAAAACATAATTTAAAAAAGACATTTTATAACAAGAACAATGACTTAATTATGCGATGGACACTCATTAAATTCAAAATAAGTATAACAATGAAGTAGAAACCTCAACTCAATCATTTTCTGTAAGTCAAAGAATAACTTATACCTGTGGGCTCAGGATCCACAATTTATAATCTTGAAGTCATTAGCAGTTCTTTATTACTGCAGTACTGATGAACTTTCCCATCATTCTAGGTTAATGAGAATGCTGAGGTATGTAATCTGAAAATTTCACCAATATCCCATTTTCAAAGGAAAACGTGAGGAAGGTTATGCATCCTGAACAATAAAGAGTCTTGATGACTTGGAATTCCTTCTCCTTCGCCAAGCCGGGGCTGTTGGGTTGCTGTGAAGCTCTGCTTCAAGGTCTGACTGTGGTCAACGCTTTCAAGCCAAAGCCAGGAATGCCACTTCTGCCATCTGCACAGGCTCATACTCGCTCAGATTTTGGGCTTTGTTCAGAGGAACGTGACACAAAAGAATGCCTTGAGAATTCACTTTTCCATTCCTACTGCCATATACACAGAAGAAATCCAGCCAGCAGAGGAAACAGATTGCCTAGCAGAAGCCAGAGGGTGACCACAAGGCTAGAGGAACGGGAACAGATATCTAGGGTTGAAAACAAAAATTGACTTTCTATAGACATTTTTGGAATATATTATGTCAACTAAATACTGACAGATGAATATAGGTGATTATTAAAGGTGAACAACGACAACCTTGGAGAGGAGAATCAAAAATGACTTCCTGCCCTCCTGGCGTGGCAGAGTGGTTGAGCGTTGACCTATGAACTAGGAAGTCACAGTTCAGCATCGGGTCAGGGCACATGCCTGGTTTGTGGGCTCGGTTCCCAGTAGGGGTTGTGCAGGAGGCAGCTGACCAATGATTCTTTCGCATCATTGATGTTTCTATCTCTCTTTCCCACTCTCTTTCTCTCTGAAACCAATCAATCAATCAATCGATATGACTCCCTAAAACCTAGATATGTAAAGTCAATTTTTTTTTGCAGTTTTTGAAAAAGAACAAAATGTTTATTCAGGAAGAAAAGAAGATGTACCTACCATATCATGGTTAAAAAACAGCCAAGAAGAGAAAGACGGTCTTTGGCTAGTATCCCAGCAGTTAAAGATGTTACACAGGAAAGTAGATAATTATCTTGTCTATTCTGACATGGGAAGAAGAACTCTCTTTTCTTTCTTGTTCCTTTTTTATGGTAATTTGATATAATTTATCATCCCAAATAAGGACATTTTGAGACAAGGTTTGAAATAAATGGCTAATTTCAAGATGGTGCCATGTCAGCAAACTGAAACTTAGATCACTGTGTGCTTGACCAGAAAGATAGTATATCCAGTCAGCCAAGTGTCAACCAATAAGCCAACTCTGGGCTATACTTATTTCCTTGTTCCTCAATCTTTCCACGTAAGGTCAGTAAGGTCAGTAAGGTCAGATACGCAACTCTGGCCAATCAACTTAAGGCGAGCGTTTCTTCCTTGTTTCCTGCTTGTATCCTTTTTCCTTATTTTGCAGTTCTCTGGACTCTTGAGAGTGGAGACTGCCTGCTTCATGAAGTATGAAATAAAATTTGTTTAGATCAAATAAATGTTCTCTTTGACTTTTTTTTAAACACAGGGGAAGCTATTAACAATTATACCAGGACAAGAGGCATATGGACTGTCCCAGGCAAGCCAGGGTATATGGTCCCCAATCTCTAAACAACTATTTATCTATCACATCCAGCCTTCATCTGGAAACAGAAGACACGTTTATAATAACTTAATAAAGAAAAAATTTTAAAATAGAGTCAATGGGCTTTGGGCACTAGAAGTCCATTTTAATTTAGGCATGAGCTGTTCTCACGGCTAAAACTATATTTCCCAAAATAATTCTCACAAAGGAAAACTTTTTAATTTTGTTGTTTTTAGAGTGTGTGTGTGTGTGTGTGTGTGTGTGTGTGTGTGTGAGAGAGAGAGAGAGAGAGAGAGAGAGAGAGAGAGAGAGAGAGAGAGAGAGAGGAGAGAGAGAGATTTGTTATTCCACTTATTTATGCCTTATTAATGGTTATTTCTTACATGTGCCCTGACCAGAGACTGAACCTGCAACCTTAGTGTAACAGGACACTACTCTTAACCAACTGAGCTACCTGGCCAGGGTTGGTAAATATTTTTCAGCAGCAAAGAGACCAGGCCAACTTGAATTTATCTTGAGATAAATTGTCCTTTCTAATATACCGTGTCCCCCAAAAATGTATACACACACTTTGAATAATTATAAAGTCAAGTGTTTATTAAAATACACTTTTTTCAAAATTGAGTTTTCAGCGATTAAATTATGTATGCTTCTTTTGGGACAGACACCCTGTATTTTGACCAATAAAGAGCCAACTAAGCTTCAAGTCTGACTGCTTACAAGTGGAAAATAGGGCTAGTCTTCAGCTCTAAAATGAATAGAATGATAACGTCACAGCACTGCAGCCTATTCTTCTGAGCACCATATAATGCAGGTAAAACAGGAGGAAACTCCTATTTTTCCCAATGGAATCAGTTGGTAATTGTTAAATCTTACAAAGATCCTACTTTGCCAAGAACAGTCCTTCTCATCAGCATCATCTGTAAACTTGTTAAAAATGCAAATTCTCAGGCTCTGACCCAGATCTTCTGAATCAGAAACTCTGGGGTTGAGGCCTGGCAACCTGTGTTTTAACATGATTCTGATGCATGCAAAAGTTTGAGAAAGTGATCTAGCATTGCACTGTCTAATATGATAGCCACCAGCAATATGTGCTACTTAAATTTAAATTAACTCAAATGAAATAAAGTATTTAGTTCCTTAATCACACTAGTCACATTTCACACATTCAACGGTCATATGTGGCTATTACTCTGTTGGGCAATGCATATAACAGAACACTTCTGTCATCCCAGAAAGTTCTACTGGATAAGTTCTGGCCCAGAGCATGAGGTAGAAAGGTCTTAGCTGGAATAAGGAATGGAACCTGGAGTCTAATAACGCAGGTATATCCCTTTATCTCATGATTCTCAATTTGGCCCAAGGAAATGGAGAAGGACTACCTGTTTCTTTTTCTACTATTGACACTAAAATTTAACAAACTATTAAAACATTAATGGCAGCTCTGGAACATTTGTTGTCTTTCAAAAATACTGAATGTTAGCCAGGCCAGTGTGACTCAATGGTGTGAGGCAAATTACTAAATTTGGTTTTCTTAGATGGTCCTTAAGCTACTTTTAAAGGCCATTTAAAAAGAGGAGTTCCAAAAATGTATTTCAACAATGGAATTGCCCGGCTGATGTAGCTCTGTGTGTGGAGCGCTGTCCCATGGACCAAGAGGTCACCAGCTCAATTCCCAGTCAGGGCACATGCCTGGGTTGCAGACTCAATCCCCAGTAGGTGACATGCAAGAGGCAGCCTATCAATATTTCTCTCTCAGAATGTTTCTGTCTCTCTCTCTCCCTCTTCTTTCCTCTCTCCCTAAAATCAATTAAACATATTAAAACAAAACAAAACATAACGGAGTCACTTTTGAAATAACTCTATTGATAGATATTGCTCCTGCCAGGAAAAAAAAAAATTCAGTGGTGGGAAGGAGATTTTCCAGTAAAACTGAGATCAGAAGAGAAGATGCTTAACCTGTTTAGAGGTTCCTTGAAGGGAATTTTCAACATCTGATAAGAAAAGTCTCCGTCTTCACTCCAACCATAGAGATACTCACCCAGGGGTACAGCTCTGGTCAGGTTAGCAGCTGGAGGGTCTGTTTCCGGAGGACAGAGTTCACAGAAGTCCCAACATGAGGGGCAGAGCAGGTTTCCATCGTGAATCCAGCCGTTCATATGAATACTAACGAAGAGGACCTGCCCGGCTCGACTACACAGATATGAAGTGTTCTGGACCCAAACCTTTAGACCTTGTGGAGAACAAGAAACCTCCAAACAGAAAGGAGAAAAAATCAGATCCGTTAAGTATACTGGCTTCCTTCGTCTGCAGGAAAAGGTTAGAATTTGCTAAAAATACTAGTTATAAAATATAATTTGGGATATAAAAATTTCAAATTATTTCTTCTTCAAAGTTGTTTTCTAAAAAGACTTCATGTTAATTTCAATTATGCTACTTCACTTTAAATATTTCAAAACTTCTCTCCTAGAATTATTTTCAAAGTAAAAACATGTTTCTGAAAATGTTTGTTGGTAGCAAATTTTTACTCTACAGGGAGATGAAGTTTTCTGTAATATTTGGTATGATTATTAACAATCATTTAGTTTACCTGATAACACCCACTCCCCCAGTCTGGGTAACTCAGCTTCCTTTCACACTTTTCCATGACAAATGCTGATTTCTGAATTAGACAAACTGAATGAGGTCCATACTTTTCAGCACCATAGTTTTTAAAAAGGTCTGAAAAAAAAACAGGAAAATTTTCTTAAAAACTTATCTTAGGCTCAAAGAACAAAAAATTGAAATATTCCATCCTATGACTAATGGTTATTTTTAAAACAAACAGGTTTAATGGAAAATTTCAATTTAAAATATCAAGAGAAAGAGGGCTTCAAACTCAAACTAGATTCTCAATACAGAAATTATTGGGAGAAAATAATTATAGCATAAATAAGAGATAAAACTGGACCTAAAGTATTTAAGTTAAATATACAGAGGAAATGGCACTGAGAATCACCTTCATTAGTGGCTTAAATAGCAGTCTTTTCCCAAATGGCCCAAAATAGGATGAAGGCAACTATTTATATAATGAAAGCTTTTTGGAAGTCTTGCAACTTTTGCAAAACTCTTTTTGTATTTTCAACTTGCATTGTCATCCCCTGGAAGTTCATAAATACCATGCTGATCTAGTCTCAGACTAAACACAAACTTGCAGAGTAGACTCAATAACCCCTAAATAATTAATGGGCAAAGGATGAAGCCCTTAAACACAAGCAATATTTTGCTCTCTTTATACTTAATACAAGTAAGTTCCATCTTTTGAAAGCAGAGAGTTCAATTAGCCCATTGAAAAATATTGTACAGGTAAGCATTGCCCGGCCATTGTGGCTCAGTGGTTAAGTGTTGACCTGTGAACCCAGAGATAATGGTTCAATTCCCAGTCAGGGCACATGCCCAGGTTACAAGCTCAATCTCAAGGAGGGGGCATGCAAGAGGCAGCTGATCAATGATTCTCTCTCATCATTGCTGTTTCTCTCTCTCCCTCTCTGAAATTTTATTTATATATATATATATATATATATATATATATATATATATATATATATAGAGAGAGAGAGAGAGAGAGAGAGAGAGAGAGAGAGAGAGAGAGAGACACTAGAGGCCTGGTGCACAAAATTCATGTGTGGGTATGGTCCCTAGGCTTGGCCTGTGATCAGGGCCATCTTCCCCAGCTGCCTCAGCCAGCCCCACCCCCCACCTACACCCACCCCCAGTTCCCCATTCGCCATCAGGTGATCAGTGCCTGACATCTGGGGGAAGGGAACAAAAGGTCGCTTTTCCCACCTGCTCACCAGCCCCACCCCATCACAGGTGGCCATCAGGCGATTGGAGCCTGCTGGTCGGGGAGAGGGACCAAGAGGTGGTCAGTGCACCTCATAGTGACCAGTCCAGCAGTTATTCTGCTGTTAGGGTCAACTTGCATATTACCCTTTTATTATATAGGACAGAGGCCTGGTGCATGGAAGGGAGCTGGCTGGACTACTCTGAAGGGGGTCCTAGATTGGGGTGGGGGTCCACTAGGGGGTTGAGGGGCTGCAGGCGATTTGCAGGCTCACCACAACCCAGCTTTGTCAAGAAGAATGTCTGGAAGACATCCACTCTATCCAATATAATTAGCATATTACCCTTTTATTAGTATAGTTGTGTGTATCTCTCTCTCTCTCTCTCTCTCTCTCTCTCTCTCTCTCTCTCTCTATATATATATATATATATATATATATATATATATATATATATAGCTAAGCGACTGTTAACTGCAGAATGACCAAATGACCAGAATAACCTGTTGCTATGATGCACACTGACCACCCTGATCGCCTGGTCAGGGCTTGCAGGCCAACCTCCTGGACCCTTCCCCTGGCCAGCAGGCACTGACTGCCTGATGGGAACAGGGAACTGGGGGTGGCTGGTGGTGGACTTGGGTGGCACCAGGCCAAGGCGGGTACAGGTCGGGGACAGGAACGGCTGATGGCAGCCAGGAGCTGGGGAAAGGAAGGCCCCAGCTAGCCAACCTCCCAGTCCCTCCTGATCACCTGATCCTTGCCTGCTAGCCAAACTCCTGGTCCCTCCACAAGCGCCTGATGGGGAATGAGGAACCGGGAGCAGGCTGAACTGAGGGACTCCCCCCACTCTAGTGCATGAATTTCGTGCAGAGCCTCTAATATATCTATATCTCTCTATCTCTATCTCTATATCTATATCTCCAATAAAAAGATAAGTATCGCCCTGGCTCGGGGGTAGCTCAGTTAGTTAGAGTGTTGTCCTGATATGTTAATGTTGCAAGTTTGATTCCCCATCAAGGACATATAAGAATCAACCAGTGAATGCATAAGTGAAGTAATAAATCGATGTTTCTCTTTTTCTCTCTAAAATCAATCAATAAAAATTTTTTAAAAGTATTTTATTTTATGTCTATTTTGAAAAATCTTAATTATATAAATGAAGAAAGAAAATGTAAAATAGAACTCTGTATTTCTTTTATTTTCAGAGTATTTCAAAGTCCTCAAAAAACACAGGACCAATGATAAAAATAAATAAATTAATTAATTAATTATTAAAATAAAATAAAAGGAGCATCAACAAGCTATAATTCTCAGGCCAAATCCTGAAGGTTACCTGTTTATATGAATAAAGTTTTAGCCAACACATCCACACTCATTCATTTATAGATTATGACTGCTTTCACACTACAACAGCAGTGTTGAGCAGCTGCAACAGATACTATATCCCACAACACCTAAAATATTTACTATCTTGTTCTTTACAATAAATGTTTGCCAATTCCACCTATAAAACAATAAAATGTGATAAGATACTTTTAGCAAACCCATGACTGACAGATCTGTGCATTTCTTTTGCTTTATACGGAACTGCTGAGTAGTTGTATCATAAATCTTTAGATATTTATTAAGTACGTGAGTGATAAAAAACCCCACAAAACTAAAAACCCAATTAAATCTGCTAGGTTTAAAAATAAAACATTATGGAAACTTAAAATTTAAATGACTTAGTTTGTAATAAAGTATGAAATAAAGTGATGATGCCCTAGCCAGTTTGGCTCACTGAACAGAGTGTTGGCCTGTGGACTTAAGGGTCTCAGATTCAATTCTGGTCAAGGGCACATGCCTCAGTTGCGGCTCAGTCCAATGTGCAGAAGGCAGACAGTCAATGATTCCCTCTCATCACTGATGTTTCTACCTCCCTCTTCCTCTCCTTTCCTCTCTGAAGTCAATTTAAAAAATAATTTTGATGACCATAGAAACAAAAACTATTTATTGCTATTTATTAACACAATAGATGTGAGAACACTTTATTTATAGAGGTGAATAGTATGAGCTGTAACTATTATTGTTAAATATCCAGTTGCCATACTGTTTATCCCTTTGAAGACCTGTTCATTTATATGTATATTAAGAAACAATAAACAGTATGACAACATCTTACTAGCTATGGGATAATAATGTCATTCTGAGAGCTGAAGAATGGCATGTTACTTCTAAATTACATAAAATGCACACTCCTCAGGAGTTGAAAAAATAGGTTACTTAATGTGATTAGCTAAAAAGAGCTCTCCACTGGAGAAACCTGCACTAAGTAACTGGATCACTGGACACTAAGTTAGTGTCTTTTTATTCATCTGTGAAATTCAATAATACCTTCTCTATGTCTCTCGTCAGGTTTTGTGGTTCCACTATACAAATTCTAGGGTCTGTGCTCTTAACCACTATTTTACATTGCTGATATATAATTGCAATATATATATAACATTTCATTTCACTAGACTACTAACCTGGTTGATTTTCCAATATTCTACAATCTGAGCTGCGCTGATATTCACCACTTACATGCCAACTGAATTCCTGACTGAAAGGGCAGTAGTCAGCAATTTCTACCGAACCGCCATAATGGGGCAAATCTTCTGCAGGTATTCCACTGAGTTCATCAAAGTACTACAAAGAAAGTATTAGGAAGACAGGAGAAAAAGAAATATTCTGTATAACCAAAGTCCACAGTCAATTTATAGCAACCCTCTAATGCTGTACAACACAAAGAAGATATTAATGTAGTTTTCCTCATGTAGAGCAAGCATGTCAAACTCAAAGGCTAACATAGGCCAAATAAATGAGGTATGTGGCCAATGGGCCGCAAATTTGACATGCTTGATGTACAGTGTAACACAAAGATATTAATATACTACTCAGGGGTAGTCAAAGCTATTGTAGTTTTAGAAATAAGTAAGGTAAGCAAACTGGTTAAGTTTCTTATTAGATAACAAATTTGATGTGTTTTTAAAGAATGAATTGGAAGACTTTTAAGAGCTGGCAAAACAAAAAAAACTGCACAGAATTAATATTTTAAATATACTGTACATCAAATGTCTTTAGAATACTTAATTTATATGGTGTTTTGACATTCTTGAAAAAATAAAATTGTGAGAAAATGAAAGAGATCACATATATACATACTGGAGGGGTGGGTCCCTCAGCCTGGCCTGCCCTCTCTCAGAGTCTGGGAGCCCTCAGGGGTGGGAGGTGACCCATGATCAGGGGAAGGAGATGCCCCATCACACCTCTGCTGCTGCCACTGCCGGCAGTGCAAGCCTCAGCTGGCCCTGGGCAGCTGGGCAGCAACCATCCAAGGCTTGCCTTCGCATCAGGTCAGCCCTGAAAAGCTGGGCAGCCAACATCTGAGGCTTGCTTGCACCTCAGGCCGGCCCTGGGCAGATGGGGGGCTGAGAGAACTGGGGGACTCCAGAGGCAGGAGGGCCCAGTCTGCTGTATGCCTGCCGCCTCTGCAGGGTTAAGGGGACTGGGTGCCGCCATCTTGTGGCTGTGAGCACCGCCATCTTTGAGGGTGGGGCAATCAATTAGCATATTCCCTCCTTATTGGCTGTGGGTGCCACCATCTTTGCGATGGCTTGAGGGTCCATGAGCATATTCCCTCTATATTAGATAGGATAATACTTTGAACACCAAAGGAACAAGGTACCTGATAAATCTTAAAAGATTTCACATTTTACACCAACTCATCCTATATAATAAAAGGCTAATATTCAAATGGACTGAATGGTGGAGTGACCAGTCTCTATGATGCACACTGACCACCAGAGGACAGACACACAATGCAGGAGCTGCCCCCTGATGGTCAGTGTGTTCCCACAGGAGGAGCGCCGCTCAGCCAGAAGCCGGCCTCACAGTTGGCAGTCAGACATGCCCTGAAGGCTCCTGGACTCTGAGAGGGTGCAGGCCGGGCTGAGGGTGCCCCCCCCCCAAGTGCACAAATTTTGTGCACTGGGCCTCTAGTTGAATTATACTACTACTAAAAGCCCAGTGCACGAATTCGTGCGCATGTAGGGTTCATCTGGCCTGTCCTGATTAGGGGAAGAAGGGAGGCATTTGGGGTGGGGCCAGCTTGGGGGAAGGGCCTCGGGTGGTTGATGGGCTGATCCTGCCTCCTGGCTGAACTCCTGGTAGAACTCCTGGTTCAGGGAACAACTTGCATATTAGCCTTTAATTATATAAGACGTCTAGAAATATAGTTACCATCATACGATGTCTGAAACAATCAGAAAGGTCATAAACATATGTAGAAAGCTCAAACTTTAGCAGCAATAATTTAAAATTAGCTTTTGTAATATAATTTCTGACTAACATGCCCTTTGAAAATGACAGGCAGAGATGAGGGTTTTTAAAATAGCCATGGCAACATACCACTTAAAAGGTCAAATCAGAGATTCAGGCTGAACATCATGTGGGGCCCTTTTCTTCACCTTTACATCCCTTGAGTCAAACCTTCTCTAAATCAGAACTCCCAAGCCTTCTAATTAATCGGCTTAGAGTACCTGGGTTATTTTCCTTAAAGAAGCTTGTGGGGTTTTGTGGTGTGTAAATTAGCGGAAATTAAAGATGAAGACTTTGGAAACAACTATAAAGAAAAAAAGAACATGCAGTTTAGAAATATTTAGAGCAAAATAAATATTCTAAATGCCTCTTACTATTTCTACAAGGAATTGCTAGATATTAATTACTATCTATTATCACATCAGTTATAAATAAATGGAGGAATTCCTCAGTTTTATCTGACTTACAGAAAACAAATGAGGCCTTATAAATTGAAACAGCTAAGAGGCTTTACTCTTCTAACTCAAAATAGAAACTTATTTTTAAAAAGGTGATTCTTAAAATTGTGTCCCAAACGAGTGTTACCTGGTATTCTTGAGGCAAAGGTTTTAGAAACTTCTGCAAATTACACACTGCAACTGCTCTCTGGTCCTGTCTGCAGGTTAACTGCAAGGGATTACTCCTGAGGGTGTCACAGTAAGGGCTCAGCATCTGCCTCCTGCACATAAAGATAAACACCACAGTATACAACTGTAAAGAAAATAGTACACACCTATTCTTTTCCATTATAAGCTTATCTTTTCCACTATAATTTCAATATGTTTTCATAGCTTAAAATTAATTGCAAAATCGAGTTATAAACTTATTTTTCAAAGAGTAAAAGGAACGCGTAATGTAAATGTGAAAGATTAAAGCTAGATGCGTTCTAACATTATTTCACTGTTATTAAATAAAATCCTATTTATCTCTCTCCATTTTTGTCAGTAAAATGGAGTTTTAAAGACCCGATTTGCATTTAATATGACAAATAATGAAATTCCAGAGCTTGTCAAAAACATACATCTTCATAATTAATAACAAATGGAGTCTCCGAAACAAATGGAGATGACGTCTTGCAGCTACAAAGAGCTGATTAGATATTTTCTATGCTACAATCTAGGTCAAAAAATCCTATTTGACAATTTGTTAAATTAAAAACATTCACGCCCTGGCCTGCTCTCAGATTGGAGGGTCACAGGTTCAATTCCTGGTCAAGGGCATATACCTCAGTTGCAGGTTCAATTCTGGCTCTTGTTGGGAGTCAACTAATCAATGTGCCTCTAACGCATGGCTGTTTCTCTTTCTCTCTCTCTCCCTTTCTCCCTCCCCCATCCCTTCTACTCTCTCTAAAAACTCAAAGGAAAAAACTACTCATTCCTTGAGTGAGGTTTAAAATAGAACACACATATACACAAAAACAAAAACAATATTCACAATCCAATCTTGTTTTTCTGACTAAAATGAAAATTGTGTTAATATTCCTAATTGTTACAACTTACTCTGTTGTCTGTTAAATTTAATCTTGGAGATAAAAGTAATTTATTTAATGTTTAATTATTTAATTTGATAATCCTCTCTTCTTCCAAGGATACTTTTTTCCATTGAGAGTGGAAAGGAGGGAGAGAAGGGGGAAGTAGGGTGGAGATTAGGGGGCAGGAAGGATAGGTGGAGGGAGAGGGAGATAGTGAGAGAGAGAGAAAAAGAAAGAGAGAGAAACATGGATGCAAGGGAGACACATTGATTGGTTGCCTCCCACACATGCCCTTACTGGGGCTAGGGATCGAACCAGCATCCCAGGTACATGCCCTTGACTGGGAATTGAACCCAAGACCCTTTTGTGTGCAGGCTAATGCTCTACCCACTGAACAACACCAGCCAGGGCTGAATGGAAACTTTTTTTAAATTGCACTAATTGCTACAGATTAAACTGAGTCCTCCAGAATTCGTGTGTAGAGGCCCTTACCTCCAATCTGACTATAACTGGAGAAAGCGTCTTTTAGGAAGCACTATGGTTAAATGAGGCCATAAGGGTAGAGCCCTAATGTGATAGGACTGGTGACTTTACAAGAAGAAGAAGAGAGACGATAGTGCACTCTCTCTGCCGTGCGAGGACAAAGTGAGAAGGCAGCTGTCTGCAAAAAGAAAGAGAACTCTCTGCTTGATCCCCAGTAGGGGGCCTGCAGTGCAGGAGGCAACCAAACAATAATTCTCTCTCTTCATTGATGTTTTTAGCTCTCTTTCCTTCTCCATTCCTCTCTAAAATTAATAAAAAATATATATATTTTAAAATTGGAAAAACTGACAAACATCTAGTAAAACTGTAAAAGAAACATAGAGAAGAGTCAAAGGATTTTTTTCATTAATTAAAATGTTCTTTTCATTTATTGATATGAATACAGTATATAGTGAATAATGTATTCATTATATACAACATAATTTCACTTATATAATATTCTTGAAAGGACAAAATTAGAGAAATGGAGAACAGATTAGTGATTCCAGGAGTCAAGGAGGAGCTGACATGACAGGGAACTGAGTATGACTATAAAAGCAGCCTTGTACCGAAATGGGTTTGGCTCAGTGGTAGAGCGTCGGTGTGTGGATGAAGGGTCCCGGATTCAATTCCAGTCAAGGGCATGTACCTTGGTTGCGGGCACATCTCCAGTAGGGGGTGTGCAAGAGGCAGCTGGTCGAAGTTTCTCTCTCATCGACGTTTCTAGCTCTCTATCCCTCTCTCTTCCTCTCTGTAAAAAATCAATAAAATATATTTAAAAAACAACAACAACAACAACAACAAAAAACAATAAAATATATTAAAAAAAAAAAAAAGAAGCAGCCTTGTGGTGATCCAAATGTTCTTTATCTGACTGTATCAGTGACAATATCCTGGCTGTGACGCTGTACTATAGCTTTGTAAAATGTTACCAATCAAGGAAACTGGATGAAATGTACATGAAATCTTTGCATATGAACCTGTAATTATCTTCAAAAAATTATATATATATATATATATATATATATATATACACACACACACACACACACACACACACACACATAAAATACAAACAAGCGTGTGTGTGTGTGTGTGTGTGTGTGTGTGTGTGTGTTTGTGTGTATCCCTCCTATATTTTAAAAAAAGCTTGCTAGGTGATTATAATATGCATTCAGACTTGAGGACTCTATAGAAAAATACCTTTATGTTTTTTTTAATATTGAATCAATAGCTATATTTATGTTTATGAGTGCATTTTCTGAAGAAAACAGTAAGAAATATAGAGTATGTAAAATTTTTGCAATGTATATTTATGAATTATAAACTAAACAGAAATATTTTATGGTCTGGCTCCCACATTGTAGAGTCTTTAAGTCTATGATTTAAAACAATATGCAGCTATTTATTATATCACCAAGCACCATAAATAGTTTCCTACACATTTTGAATATGAACTATTCAGGCCATATTTTGAAAGTAACACTTTAGGCTCCAGATAAAGAACAAAATCAGAAATAAACTGTTATCAAACATTATGAGGAAATGTATTCTTACTTTCTTTTCTGCTGATCAATCCAGAACTTACAGCTCTTCCTGACAAAGTCACAGCCCATTCCTCGACCCCAGTCTAACTTCTCAGCCATGCTATAATTAGCTTTATACCAGCTGTGGAAATAATTCAAACAAAGCACTTTATATTGCTGTCATTTAAAAAACAATTCCAACATACCCATGACAAATCTCAACAATGAGAAAAGTAGGACTCAAAAGGGACTTTGGTGGCCCTCCCCGGGCAGGCATCACTAAGGAATCCCTTGCTGCAGGGGTCTCCGGAGCAGGAGTGGGGACTTCAGTTTTATGGTGAGGCTGGTCAGAGTTGGGAAAAAACACTAACAGACCATGTTTCCATTGTAATTTCCAAAGATGACAGAAGTCACAGAGTAGAAACTGGTTCAGATGTGAGACCAGAGGAAGGAGGGCCAAAAAAACAGAAAGAGAATGAGAGAAAACAAGAAGTAAATTGAGGAAAAAACAGTGGAATTGTTAGGTAGCTAGTTTTTACCTAATCTGATTCAGTTGGAGTTTCTTGCTTCTCTGGCCTTGAAACTGTGCTATTTTATCACATAGGCCCTGCTTGTGACTAAATATTACACTATTAAAATAAGACAAATGGCAGAAACCAGTTTGGCTCAGTGGATAGAGCATCGACTCTGCCAACTGAAGGGTCCCAGGTTCGATTCCGGTCAAAGGCATGTATCTTGGTTGCGGGCACATCCCCAGTGGGAGGTGTGCAGGAGGCAGCTGATAGATGTTTCTCTCTCATCAATGTTTCTAACACTCTATCCTTCTCCCTTCCTCTCTGTTCAAAATCAATAAAATATATATATATTTTAAAAGACAAATGAATACAATGTCTAATACTTTTAAAAATGTTATCATTTCAGAAAAAAAAACACATAGCACATTGATTTAGTTTCCTGGCAAATTTAATCAACAAGCTTAGTTTTATCAGCATTTCTCTTTTTAAAAAAAAAAAAAAAAATCTTTTTCTTTTGGTCCTAGCCAGTTTGGCTCAGTGGATACAGCATCAGCCTGTGGACTGAAGGTCCTGGGTTTGATTCTGGTCAAGGGCACGTACCTAAGTTGTAGGCTCCTCCCCAGCCCAGGCCCAGGTCAGAGTTGGGGCAGGAGCCCACCAATCTATGTGTTTCTCTCACAACAGTGTTTCTCTCTGTCTTTCCCTTACTTCCATCTTCCGTAAAAATCAATGGGAAAAATGTCCTCGAGTGAGGATTAATAAAAAAATAAAATAAAATCTTTTTTTATTTTTCAACTAGAGGCCCAGTACACAGATTAGTGCACATTGAAAGGAAATTAATTATTATAGAAGGTGGCTGGCGGGGCAGGACTGGGCGAGATGGGCCAGACACGCCATGGATCTGACCTCCTGCAGTCCCTCCCCGGCTGGCCACACAGGGGGCAGCACTGGGGCTCAAAGGGCGACTGTGGAGTGAGTGGGGTCCCTCTGGCAGGTTGGGTTCCTCAGCCTGGCTTGTGGGGATCAGCCAAAACCTCTGATATTCCCCAAAGGGTCCCAGAATGCGAAAGGACATTCTGCAAAATTGTTGTCATTCAGCTGCTCCTGCATTGAGCATTTGTCCCTGATGGTCAGTGCACATCATACCTACCAGCTGGTCAGCCAGTCAGCAGGTCGCTTAGTCTTTTATATATATAGATTGGAGTTGACATACAATATTATATTAGTTTCAGGTGCACTCCATACTGATTAAACATTATATAACTTACTGATCCTCACAATAAATCTCATACCCATCTAACACCATTCATATTTTTAAAAAAAAGATATATATCTTATTTTTTTTAGAGAGGAAGGGAGAGGGATATAGAGAGTTAGAAACACTGACGAGAGAGAAACATTGATCAGCTGCCTCCTGTACACCTCCTACTGCAGATGTGCCTACAACCAAGGTACATGCCCTTGACCGGAATCAAATAGGGACCTTTCAGTCCAAAGGCTGACACTCTGTCCATTGAGCCAAATTGGTTAGGGCCATACATATTTATTAGAATATTATCTATATACTAGAGGCCCAGTGCACAAAATTCATGCACGGGGTTGGGGGTTGTCCCTCAGCCCAGCCTGCACCCTCTCCAATCTGTGACCCCTCAAGGGATGCCAGACTGCCAAGAGAACAGACGTTCCATCGCTTGCTATGATGTGCAGTGCAGAACATGGTGGGTGACCAGTGGTGGCAGCGGGGCTGAGGGAGCAAGGGAAGGAGGTGGCGGGGGAAACCACATAGTGGCAGTGCACAGGTAGCAAGGGAAGGAGGAGACCGAGAGGTGGGGAACCTGTGATCAGCCCTGATCACTGGCTAGGCCTAGAGACCCTCCCCATGCACGAATTTCGTGCACTGGGACTCTAGTTGATTATAATGCTCTAATTTACATCCTCATGACTATTCTGTAACAACCAATTTATACTTCTTTTGTTGGTTAATTGATTTCAGAGAAAGAAAGGGAGATGGAGAGAGATAGAAACATAGATGAGAGAGAAACATGGGTTGGCTGCCTCCTGCATGCCCTGTACTGGGGATCAAGCCCAAAGTCTGGGCATGTACCCTAACTGGGAATTGAACCATGACTTCCATGCCAGCTGGAACCAGCAATCTCTTGGTGCATAAGACAATGCTCAACTAACTGAGCCATACTGGCTGGGTTCCATGTCTAGTTTTAAAATATTGCCAGAAATTTAGAAACCTAAAGCCCATGCTACTGTTGTGTTGCCTCAGAAAAAAAGAAAAATGCTTTAAAATTCACCACTGCCATGATTTTTCATTAGGGACTCACACACTCCACAGTGCTTCTGTATCCAACTGGTATCTTAAAGAAACTAGCATTGTTTATAAAAGGGCTATAAACAGGCTGTTAAGCAGAGCAGCAGGACCACTTCAGCTAGCTATTGCTTATTCGGAGATAAGTGAGAAAGAGCTATACTAGCACTAAAAAACATCTGTCATTGTGGGTTTTTTCCCCTTTTCAAATACAGTATATGAATGCCTAACTTGGTCCACTGTAAAGTATTAGAAACAATGATAACCTAGTAGCAATGAACAGGGTCTAGGCTGTGGTTCCTTAAAGCTGTCTCTATTAAAGGAACCAGCGCTCTTTGTAAGATTGGCTGATCAGCCTGGCACATTCTACCATTCCAGAAACCAAGGGAGCTATCAAAAACCAACATGTCGCCGAAGCTGGTTTGGCTCAATGGATAGAGCATCGGCTTGGGGACTGAGGGGTCCCGGGTTCGATTCCGGTCAAAGGCATGTACCTTGGTTGTGGGCACATCCCCAGTAGGGGGTGTGCAAGAGGCAGCTGATCGATGATTCTCTCTCATCGATGTTTCTGACTCTCTGTCTCTCTCTCTTTCTCTCTGTACAAAATCAATAAAATATATATTTAAAAAACAAACAAAAAAAAAAAAAAACCCAACATGTCTTTTCTAAAGGACCCAGGAGCCAATAAAGAAAAAGACCCCACTGGAGTCATTTAAAAACAGAAAGTTCCACTGCTTTAAAAACTGGAATCTATACATCACCAATTTCACTTATAATTAAAATTTTTTTAAATTAGTCTTTCCTTCATGTTAGCATGGCCTCTATGTATTGAAAGATAAATTCCATAATACTTGGAATTTTGTTCTATTCCTTACTATATCTCAGGGCTTCAAATATTTATTGAATGAATAAGGGGAGTTGAAGAGGTAATGGATAGCTAACTGCACAAAATTCTAAGAATATTTTACTCCAATGCAAAATGTCACTATTTTAACTGATTCATTTATTCAGCTTAATTGCATTAATTTTAATATTCATTTCATTTTAACAAACAACTCATATAATAATCTCAAAGTTGTCTTACCCAGTGTCCTCCATTAATGCCAGAGTGATTCGAGAGAGGACTCGGTTCTGGGTGTGAGAACCAGTCATTGCTTCATTCTGAAAATCGCCAACAAATTTTCATTAGAGGACTGGACCCCTTGCAATAGCAATAATTTCCATGATTATGTATGTTTAAATATACATTGATGTATATTTAAGTGCCTTAAGTATGAGAGGCTTATGAAATATTCACTTAAAATAGTGAAATACGTAAGTCTTGTTTAAAATGACAAGACAGGAGCTTAAAATCTACTTTCTGCCTCAAATGTCTACATTGTGTCCAATTTTGTTAGGATGGTAGACAGCCAACATTTAAAACTCTGTGATGAAAATTAGGATAAATACATTGAAACAGGAATAGTGTAAAAATATTAACTACCTAGGCAAAATGGATAGTTGAGACAGGTGCCCAGATAATACCTGAATTACACAAAAATGCTTTCATAACCCTCAACTTTGTGCTCACAGAAATACAAATTAATATGCAAAACACATATCACAGGATCAAAGGATTTGCATGAGGGACCTAAAATACCATCAATGTCTACCATCTACCCAATGTTTTAATTCATATAATAAAATATATACCAGTAGGTTACCTAACAATAAGGACTTCACTGCCTCTTAAGAAGACATATTCTATCTTTGGGCAGCTCTGACTATTCTTCCAATCTTTAATTTGAACACTTCAGTCTTCTCAAGTACTTTCATATCATCTTAGTTCAAGGACACAAAGTTGATTTCAGAGAAAGGTGTAATTTGATGAAATTAATAAAACTATTACTATCTATTGAAAAGTAAGTAAGCTTTCATTTCTGGCCAATCTATAAAATTGCTTAAAGAAAATAAACTGAAATTCCCACAGGAGAAATATATGTCACTTCCAGTAAGTTTCCATTACTTACTTTGTGGTCATCTAGATGAGAACAGTCAGTACAAGCATTAATTTTACTCTTTTCACAGTTTCCCCAACTCAGGTCCTGATACATGTAAGCATAATTTTCAAATCCTACACCCATTTTTAAATTAGGTTGTCTTTTCTTTTTTTTAAATTTTTATTGATTTTTTTAGAGAGGAAGGAAGAGGGATAGAGAGAAACATTGATTATCTGCCTCCTGCACACTCCCTACTGGGTATGTGCCAGCAACCAAGATACATGCCCTTGACTGGAATCGAACCTGGGACCCTTGAGTCCACAGGCCGACACTCTATCCACTGAGCCAAACCGGACCTGAGGTTACATCCCCTGCCCAGCAGGGCTTGACAAGGGTGGGACTGGCCAGGTCTTGATCTAGCCCAATGGGGGTGGGGGTCGGCAGGGTCTGGGTCTCACATGATTTTGAGGTGCATGTGGGTGGGCAGGGACTTGACTCTGGGTCCTGAAGTGCACCACTGACTGACAGGAGGAAAGTTTTCATATACACTTTACCAATTTTCTTTCATCTCTGACACTTCTATTATAGAGAGCAAATAGCAATATTAAATTATTTCCTCTAATTAATCCCCTTTTAATGTGCACAAATTTCATGCACTGGGCCACTAGCATTTAAATATTCTTACTGATTTCAGAGAGGGAGAGGGAAAGGGAGAGATAGAAACATTGATTGGCTGCCTCTTGCACGCACCCCACTGGGCATGTGACCTGATTGGGAATTGAACCATGACCTCCTGGTTCATAGGTCAAGGCTCAATCACTGCTTTATTGTTGAGTTATAAGAGTTCTTCATATAGCTGAAACCAGTTTGGCTCAGTGGTAGAGCATCAGTCTGCGGACTGAAAGGTCCCAGGTTCAATTCCGGTCGGGGCATATATGTTGGTTGTGGGCACATCCCCGGTGGGAGGTGTGCAAGAGGCAGCTGGTCTATGTTTCTCTCTCATTAACGTTTCTAGCTCTCTATCTCTCTCCCTTCCTCTCTGTAAAAAAAATCAATAAAATATATATTTTTTAAAAAGAGTTCTTCATATAGTCTGAATTATAGACCCTTATCAGACAAATGATTTGTAAATATTTTCTCCCGTTCTGTGAGTTGTCTTTTCACTTTCTGAGAGTGCCTTTTGAAGCACTAAAGTTTTTAATTTTTGATGAAATTCATGTTATCTATATTCTTTGGTTACTTATGCTTTTGGTGTCACTTCTAATATAAATATAAATGATATAAATATAAATATAAATATCCCTCCTTTGAGCAAGATATTCCACTTGTAGGGATTTATCTTTTCTTTTTCTATATAAAGAAATTTGACCTTCAGTTAACTTCCTAATTCTGGTTTCTAGGAACCTAATAAAGGTGGAATGTGAACTGTGTACACAGGGAAAAAGACCAACTGATATGCATCTGGACTTGGGATTACTGTAAGTGAACACGAACACCTGTTGGTAAGCCACAATTTTGGACTTCTCAGTGTGCAGTGACTTTTATGGCTATGACCCTTACAGGGTTCTACAAGTTATACCTATGGATAACTCTTAGACTGCTGTATGGAGTATAAGAGAAATGCCTCATGGCCATGGTGGCATGCTGTGCTTTCTTTCCTCTACCATTCTACATGAATGTTTTTTCAATGGACCATTTAGGTCTTGTTAGTTTGATTATTTAATTGAACCTAATTACCACCACTAGAACAACACTCCTAGAAGACAGTATACATTTAAATAAGTTGCTCATTACAGTATTTTTAAAATAAAAAAAAATTAAGTTATTCATTAGCATAGGAATGTTGTTCATATAATATGTAGCTATTAAAAAATGAATAGATTCAATATACAGATTATTCTACTAAAGCATGGTTTTCTGTATGTGAATGAGCTCACGTAAGCCTGGTAAATAAGAAAACATCATCACCATAATAAGGAATCGTGTTGCTTCCTAATGATCTTTCTCTGGATTTTAATGGCTTGTGTAACGGAGCAATAGCAGCTAAACACAAAGTACACTAAGGCAGCTAAACACAGTAACAGAGAAATGCTATACTGTGCAGGGTGTCTGTTCACTCCATGCACTTCTACATGGCTTGCTACAGCTAGGGGCTCTGATTTGGAAGTGCTTATTGCATGGTTCTCTCTAATCTTTGTACAATTTTACTATTTTCTTCCATTGCTCAGATTTATAGTCTCCCATCCAACTATCACTGCTTTTTTGTTATTGTTGTTTAATATAAAGAAATACCAAAGCCAAAACTGGTTTGGCTCAATGGATAGAGTGTCGGCCTGTGGACTGAAAGGTCCTGGGTTCGATTCTGGTCAAGGGCACGTACCTTGGTTGCGGGCACATCCCCAGTAGGGGGTGTGCAGGAGGCAGCTGATAGATGTTTCTCTGCCATCGATGTTTCTAACTCTCTATCCCTCTCTGTAAAAAATCAATAAAATGTATTTTAAAAAAACACCAGAGTAAATATAGTTTATTTATTGGAAATATATGTCTTTTTAAACCAAGCTAGCACTTTTTTATGACTTCTGCTTTTATTAATGCTTTGATATTTGTTTTCCCAAAAGCCTTGTTATTTTTAGTGTTCAATTTTGGAGGAAGAGGCTTTTCTAGCAAAGCATACATTGCATTACAATAGAAGCACTTTACTACCTTGGAGAAATGTTTAAGATAAGTATCATTAAGTGAAGAAAGTTATAGAAATGTACGAACCACTTTTTTAAAAGTATATATGTTAGTTCATACTTCTGAAAGAATATACAAAAAACTTAAAAAGTGATTACTTTAGGAAAGTAGATCTTAAAAACTAAAGGGCAAAAGAGACTTAAAATTTTTTTACTTTACTAGTATACGCTATTACACTGAATGACTTTTTACCATAAGGAAAAATATGTCTAGTAAAATTTAAAGAAAAAACAGATTTAGTACAATGTTAATGTAAACTTACCTCTAATAACCGCTTTTCCCAGTGGTTGAGTTCAGTGCCCATACCACCTTGATTTTCAAGTTCCATTCCTTCCAGAATTGGACAGTTAAAATGTTTTCTTGCTTCATCCTTAAAACCAGAAAAAAACATAAGCCCTACAAAAGTACAGTAGGATAATGGCAAATGACCACACTAGATGTAATAAAGAGTTAAAGAATTACTTTGGTTCCCTAGCTGGTTTAGCTCATTGGATAGAATGTCAGCCTGTGGACTGAAGGATCATGGGTTCAATTCTGGTCAAGGGCACATGCCCAGGTTGCAGGCTACATCCCCAGCAGGGGGCATGCAGGAGGCAGCCAATCAACAACTCTCTCTCATCATTGATGTTTCTCTTTCCCTCTCCCTTCCTCTCTGGAGTATAAATCAATAAAAATATATTTTAAAAATTGTTTTTAAGAATATAGTTTGGTTCTGCCTGTCCTTCAGTTGGAGACTTCCAGGGATGGAAAATATACCAAGAGCAGTGTACAAGTTCAAAAGACTCTTAGAGAGAGCTGTGTTCAGTCAAGGAGGGAAAATAAGTTTCTGTCATTACATACATGTGTGATGGTTAATTTTATGTGATCTTGGCTGGGCCGTAGTGCTTAAATATTTGGTCAAACATTAGTCTGGATATTTCTATGTGGATGCTTTTGGATGAGATTAGCATTGAACTTAGTGGATTCTGAGTAAAGCAAATTTATAGTTGGGCCTCATCCAATCAGTTAAAAGCCTTAACAGAACAAAGACTGACCTGACCTGACCAAGAAGGAATTCAGTCAGCAGACTGCCTTTGGATTCAAATTACAACTCTTCCCTGAGTCTCCTGCCTGCCACTGCCAGCCAACCCTCTCAGATTGTAGATTCTCTAAACTTCCGCAATTACATGACTCAATTCCTGAAAATGAATCTCTTTCTTCTCCCTCCCCCCATGACAACACATCCTGGGGTTCTGTTTCTCTGGAGAACTCTGACTAGTACAGACTCCAAATTAAATGATCCGCAATTATGCAATAGTGCCAGTAATACAAAGAGGTATGAAAATAGAGGAGCACTGACTTAAAGCAGTGGGTAGAAGGGAACCAGGAGTCATTGTCAAATTTCCATTTCCTCGGATTTCTCTGGGCGTGTAGCGTTATTGTATTGCCTTTCTATTCTTTTTCCTACTGTAAGCTCTAAAATTTAATCACAGTTCTTAAATAATAATGATTAGTAGAGGACCATTATGAAGGAAAAGAGCTGATGGCTCATGAGACATTAATAATTTAGTAATACTTACAACAACACGAGGTGTTACTAGGAGATGCACAGTGTGAGGAACTATCTTGTTATCTCGAACATCCCATAATCTCTCCACCTTTTGAACTACTTTATCACTCCATTGATATAATCCAAGACTGTAGTTAAAGGATAAGAAGACAGTCACTTTTGCAAACTGACCACATTAAATGTGCTTATGAATATCAGTAAAATTAAAATTTTCAAGCTTACTAAAAGTACTTGATAATATTTTCTCATTTAATCTTTTCAACAACATCATGAGATTGTCATGACCATGCCGCAGATAAAGACACAGATGCTTAGAGAGATGAAGTAACTTGCTCAATCCACATAGCCAATTCTTGGCTACAATGACAATGAATTCTTTCCTTTTAAGACATTTATTGGGTGGGGGGAGCAGGTCCAGAGACATAGTCAAGTATATAAAGAAACTTAAACCAAAAAAAATATGGCACTTTAATTTAGTGGGAAAGTATAATTTACATAATAACTATGTAAATCCGATTATTCGTCTAGGAAAAAAAGTTAAATCCCAATTTTGTCCCATATAAAAAATTAATTCCAGACAGATGGCAGCAAAAATAGTAAATAAGGACCCCTGAAAATTTTCTGCCTTGTGAAAGCCATGAGAAAAGTAGCAAAATTGACCAAATCAACTTTTTAAGAACTCTAGAAATTAAGCAAAGGCTTGTAGGAATCCAAGAAATACTTTAAAATGGATGAATCTGATGAATTAAGAAAAATGAATTGTAAGAACAGCAAGCCTTTTGGTGTTTTCCCATGCCCTCTCTCCTGTCTTACGGCAGGCTTGAAAACCAAAAACCCAGACATGGCAAAAACCAGCAACTGAGCAGCCACGAGAAGAATTCACAAAAAACAACAGCTATGATCCAATTATATTCTACAAGAGACAGTTCAGACTCAAGGACAGAAATAGTTGAACATAAAAGGATTAAAAAGACATGACATTCAAAGAGTACTCAAAAGAGAGCTGGAACAGTTTTATTAATATTACACAAAATAGACTTTAAGACAAAAATTATTTCTAGACACAAGAGGGAAATTTTCTAATGATGAAAGAATCAATCCACCAAGACATAACAATTATAAAAATATATGTATAGCCCAGCTGGTGTGGCTCAGTGCTGAGTGTGTCAACCCATGCACCAAGAGGTCGCTGATTCGATTCCTGCTCAGGGAACATGTTTGGGTTGCAGCCTTAGTCCCCTGGTGAGGGGTATGCAGAAGGTAACCAATCAATGTTCTTTCTCATTGATGTTTTTCCCTCTCTATTCCTCTCCCTTCCTCTCTAAAAACAAAAATAAATTTAAAAATATATCTATACACATCTACATAATAAAAGCCTAAGTGATGTTAAGGTGGAACGACCAGAATGACCAGCCGCTATGATGAACACTGACCACAGGGGGCAGATGCTCCATGCAGGAACTGCCCTCTGGTGGTCACTGCACTCCCACAGAGGGAGTGTCGCTCAGCCAGAGCTGGCAAGTACAGCAGTTGTGGCAGGAGTCTCTCCTGCCTCCACAGCAGCAGTGGGCCAAGTGGCAAGCAGCAGTGAGCAGGTGGGTGGTAAGGAGCGAGGAGTTCCAGACATCCCCCAAGGGGTTCCAGATTGTGAGAGGGCGCAGGCTTGGCTGAGGGACCCCTCAGTAGTGCTCAAATTTCGTGCACCGGACCTCTAGTGTGTGTTTGTGTGTGTGTATGTGTGTGTGTGTGTGTGTGTGTGTGTCTATCTATCTATATCTATCTATCTACCTATCTATTTATCTATCTATATCTATATATAGATGGATGGATGGTAGATACATATATAGATATAGATGATATAGATATAGATATAGGTATAGATATAGATATAGATATAGATATAGATATAGATAGATGGATAAATAAATAGATAGATACTCTTTTCTGCCAGACTGCTATCTTCCAATAATTTGCCAAAATGACTAATACAAAAAGAGAGCCACCCACTATATCTTCTTTAGGATTTTTAGAAAACATGGAGTTGTTCCTCTAGCCACATACAGGTGAATCTACAAGAAAGGAATGGGCGCTGTTAAAAAGGAATGGCCCACGAATGTTACCATGGCAAATCTGGAAAAGTCTACAGTGTCATCCGTATGCAGTGGGCACTGCTGTGAACAGACAAGTGCAAGATTCTTGCCAAGAGAATTAATGTACGTATTGAACATATTAAGCACTCTAAGAGCCTCGATAGCTTCCTGAAACGTGTGAAGGAAAATGATCAGAAAAAGAGGGAAGCCAAAGAGAAAGGCACTGGGTTCAGCTGAAGCATCAGCTTGCCCCACTCACAGAAGCTCACTGTGGGAGGGCCATGGGAAGGAGCCTGAGCTGTGGAACCCCTTCCCTATGAATTCATGGCATGACAAGTGTAAAAAACTAAAGACTTGTGTACCTTATAAAATAAGGGTGGGGAATCTTTTTTCTGCCAAGAGCCATTTGGTATTTATAACATTATTCACTTAATATAATTCACTAAATATAAGTTTATGTTGTTTGAAAAAAGCTCCTAGATTTATTGAATTTCGAGTACTGCCAGGGGTTGCCTGGGCAGGGCCACACCAAATGATTCTGTGGGTCTTATACAGCCCTTAGGCCAGACATTCACCACCCCTATTACAAAGAACCAAAATATATAAAGCAAAAATAAATTTCAAATAAAGTTATGAATGTAAAAAATTTACATAATAATTTACTGTAAGAAATTTAGGATAACATTTTTATTTTAGAGAGAGACAGGGAGAGGGAGAGAGAGATAGAAACACTGATGTAAGAGAGAAATATCAATCGGTAGCCTCACACAGGAACCCAGACTGGGCTTGAACCTGCAACTTTTGCTCAGTGTACTGGATGATGCTCCAACCACTGAGCCACAACAGCCAGGGCTAGAATAATATTTTTATAATCTTTGGAGGGCAGGAACTTTCTTATGCAATAAAGAAAAAAGTAGATGAATTTAATGATATAAAATTTAAAAAAATTCTTTGTATATGAAGCTAAATGATCTTTTATACCCTATCTTGTTTTAATAGGCTAGCCATAAAACTACTGTTTTATGGCTAGCCATAAAACCATAAATTTTCTTAGGCTAGCCATAAAACCACTGTTATTTATGGCACTTAACATGCTACGATTCTCAGATTCAATTCTTAGCATCTCTCCTAAAATAGAACAAGAATAAAAATAACAAATACCTATAATTAAAAAGTGGAAGACCATCTGCAAATCTTGAAGTTAGAGGATTTCCATCTTTATCATGGTAGAATGCAAATAGCCCAGCAGAGAAACCCTGTAAGAAAAAGTTGGAAATGTCTTAATTTAAAAAAAATATCAATTCTGATTTAAGACGTCATAACATGCTGCTATCAAAAAAGAACACTGATACAACCACAAAAAAGCATCAGTACTTCTACAGGAACTTCTTATATTGAAATTGGACAATTAAGTGGTCCATATTTTTGAATTCTAAATTCCAATTACTTGAGGTTATTAAGTGAGGAAACCATAGGTAACAATAACAAAAATATTCTTTAGGGTATAGACAATGCATTTATTTGTTTAAGAATGTACTTTTTAAAAAATACATTTTATTGATTTTTTTCAGAGAGGAAGGTAGAGGGAGAGAGAGTTAGAAACATCGATGAGAGAGAAACATTGATTAGCTGCCTCCTGCACACCTCCTTTAGAGGATGTGCCCGCAACCCAGGTACATGCCCTTGACTGGAATCGAACCTGGGATCTTTCAGTCTGCAGATCAACGCTCTATCCACTGAGCCAAACCAGTCAGGGCTATTTAAGAACATATTAATCACAGTTAACCTTCACATAAACTTACTAAACTCTATAACTGTATCCAGGAAATACTACTATCAAGAAAAATTAACAATATAGAGTAGGGGGGGAGTAATTAAATACGTTCCTAAGAACATTCATAAAAAATTCAGTATTTTTGATCCCCAAATCCACATTTAATATATATATCTACACTTAAAAAAAGTGGAAATGAGTGTGTGTGTATGTATGGTATATGTGTGTGTGTTTATATATTTAAGAAAGACTGGAACAGCCAAAACTGGTTTGGCTCAATGGATAGTGCGTCGGCTTGGGGACTGAAGGGTCCTGGGTTCGATTCCGGTCAAGGGCATGTACCTTGGTTGTGGGCATATCCCCAGTAGGGGGTGTGCAAGAGGCAGCTGATCGATGACTCTCTCTCATCGATGTTTCTAACTCTCTATCTCTCTCCCTTCCTCTCTGTACAAAATCAATAAAATAAAAAAATTAAAAAAAAAAAGACTGGAACATATATCAAAATGTTAGCTGTGGTTCTTTTGCTAATATGATAATGTGTAAAATCACCCACATTCCCAAAATTGTTTTATAATGTAAATTTTTATGTTTCTAATCAAATTTTAAATAGTTTTAAAAGAAGTGTTTAATTTTAATGATAATGCATATTTCACATAAAAACATTTAAATTCCTATTCTCTATCCCTCCCCTTCCAATTAACGAGAAAGTGGGCAAAAAATTGTTGACATGATATCTCATTTCTTTTCTTGCTTTCCTTCCTAATCTAATAGCTAAAACAAAGCACTTTTGGAACTAGTCGTTTTTTTAAAAAATATATATTTTTATTGACTTCAGAGAGGAAGGAAGAGGGGGAGAAGCATCCATAATGAGAGAGAATCAAGGATCAGCTGCCTCCTGCACACCTGCACACACAGGGGATTGAGGCTGCCACCTGGACACATGTGCCCTAACTGGGAATCAAACTGTGGCCTCCTGGTTCATAGGTGTTATAGATGCTCAACCACTGAGCCACGCCGGCGGGCTGTAACTGCTTCTTTATGTATGTCTTACACATTAACTACTTCTTTATGTATATCTTACACATTAACTACTTCTTTATGTATGTCTTACACATTAACTACTTCTTTATGTATGTCTTACACATTAACTACTTCTTTATGTATGTCTTACACATTAACTACTTCTTTATGTATGTCTTACACATTAACTACTTCTTTATGTATGTCTTACACATTAACTACTTCTTTATGTATGTCTTACACATTAACTACTTCTTTATGTATGTCTTACACATTAACTACTTCTTTATGTATGTCTTACACATTAACTACTTCTTTATGTATGTCTTACACATTAACTACTTCTTTATGTATGTCTTACACATTAACTACTTCTTTATGTATGTCTTACACATTAACTACTTCTTTATGTATGTCTTACACATTAACTACTTCTTTATGTATGTCTTACACATTAACTACTTCTTTATGTATGTCTTATACATTAACTACTTCTTTATGTATGTCTTACACATTAACTACTTCTTTATGTATATCTTACACATTAACTACTTCTTTATGTATGTCTTACACATTAACTACTTCTTTATGTATGTCTTACACATTAACTACTTCTTTATGTATATCTTACACATTAACTACTTCTTTATGTATATCTTACACATTAACTACTTCTTTATGTATGTCTTACACATTAACTACTTCTTTATGTATATCTTACACATTAACTACTTCTTTATGTATATCTTACACATTAACTACTTCTTTATGTATGTCTTACACATTAACTACTTCTTTATGTATATCTTACACATTAACTACTTCTTTATGTATGTCTTACACATTAACTACTTCTTTATGTATGTCTTACACATTAACTACTTCTTTATGTATGTCTTATACATTAACTACTTCTTTATGTATGTCTTACACATTAACTACTTCTTTATGTATGTCTTACACATTAACTACTTCTTTATGTATATCTTACACATTAACTACTTCTTTATGTATATCTTACACATTAACTACTTCTTTATGTATATCTTACACATTAACTACTTCTTTATGTATATCTTACACATTAACTACTTCTTTATGAATATCTTACACATTAACTACTTCTTTATGTATGTCTTACACATTAACTACTTCTTTATGTATATCTTACACATTAACTACTTCTTTATGTATATCTTACACATTAACTACTTCTTTATGTATATCTTATACATTAACTACTTCTTTATGTATATCTTACACATTAACTACTTCTTTATGTATATCTTACACATTAACTACTTCTTTATGTATATCTTATACTCTTGCAAAATTCATGCAAGAGTAGGCCTTCCTTCCCCTGGCTGCTGGCACTGGCTTCCCTCTGGCACCCAGGACCTGGGCTTTCCTCACAGCCCTGGCTCCTTCCGGAAGGTGGACCCAAAGGACATCTGAAAGGATGTCTGGTCTAATTAGCATATTGTGCTTTTATTATTATAGATAACTAACGATCATAAATGATCATTTCTTTTTTTTTAAATATATTTTATTGATTTTTTATAGAGAAAAAGGGAGAGAGTTAGAGAGCTAGAAACATTTTCGAGAGAGAAACATTGACCAGCTGCCTCTTGCACACCCCCCACTGAGGATGTGGCCGCAATCAATGTACATGCCTTTGACCGGAATCAAACCTGGGACCTTTCATTCTGCAGACCGACGCTCTACCACTGAGCCAAAGCAGTTTCAGCCATAAATGATCATTTCTTTGCTTACATAACTGTGGCCTCTATCATTCAAGTCTTGCCAAAATGATTAATGGAATCCATATTAGTCTTTTATTTCTATATTTCTTCTTATTTAACTTCTAAAGATGCAAAGGATACTTAATGGAATCAGCTAAGAACATCTAAATAGTTTTAAATATACAATTCACTGAAGTTACATAAAGTTTAAAGTAGTATGATTTGTCTCATCCTTTATGATATTCTAAATAAACACTTTCCCCACCCTTTCAACTAGAAATTTTTTTTAAAATATATTTTATTGATTTTTTACAGAGAGGAAGGGAGAGGGATAGAGTTAGAAACTTCAATGAGAGAGAATCATTGACCAGCTGCCTCCTGCACCCCCTCCCCCCACTGAGGATGTGCCCGCAACCAATGTACATGCCCTTGACTGGAATAGAACCTGGGACCTTTCAGTCCACAGACCGACGTTCTATCCACTGAGCCAAACTGGTTTTGGCTAGAAAGTTTTCTTAAGCACTCATATTTCAGAAGTATTATCTAGTATTTAAAGCACCATGGATGACTTTAGTTGAGAGCTATGAACATATTTAACTTTACAGGGAGTACCTGTAACTGTTAAACATTTAATTTTTTCCATTCTCCAGGATGGTTTTTGAGATTTAAACTAATCTTTAAATTTTGTAGGGATTTACAATTTCTAAAATAATTAAAAAACACAGACAAATTTCAAAAGCCTAAAAGAAACTTATGCATCCTCTTTAAAAGGATTAAGATGTTGGTTTTTCCATATTTTCTTCAGTTTTTTTTTTTTTTTTTAAGAAATAAAACACTCCAGAGTAAATACTGCTGAAGCCTCACTACTTAACGCTTTTTCCTCCCTCTCTTCCCAGAAGCAACCACTACCTTGAAATCAATTTGTATAACTCTCAAAGATATTTTTACATTCAATGGTATCTCACTTTTATTTGAAATTACCTGACTACTAAAGCAAGTATAAATACCTTCTGATACATTTCTTGGCCAATTGAACCTTTTCTTTCTTTTTTTTTTTTTAAATAAATATTTATTGTTCAGATTATTACAGTTGTTCCTCTCCCTCCCTCCCCAATAGCTCCCCTCCACCTGGTTCCCAATCCAGCCTCTGCCCTTACTGCCCCCCCCACACTGTACTCTTCCATAGGTGTACAAATTTTGTTCAGTCTCTTCCCACACCTCCCACACCCCTGTAAAAATATGGAACGTTTCACAAATTTGTGCATCGTCCTTGCACAGGGGCCATGCTAATCTTCTCTGTATCGTTCCAATTTTAGTATATGTACCGCCAAAGCGAGCATTGTTTAATTATTTTAAATAGTATAATTCAACCTAGCTCAAATGCTAATCATCAGAAATTTTCTAGTGGCAAAGGCCTAATCAACTGTTTTATGGAACATGAATCTAAGAATCTACATAATCTTAAATGTTAATATATACATCAAAATGAAAGCACAATAAACAGAAAATCACACACACACACACACAGAGAGAGAGAGAGAGAGAGAGAGAGAGAGAACAGTTAACAGGAAAATTTACCAGGGCATGAATAATCTCATGTTTCACTGTAGACAGCATCCCAATAAACTCCTGAGGCTGGGTAGAGATCATATTTGGACACAGGTTAGCATATCCTGCTATTGGCCTGTTAAAATAGACATTGAATTTTATTATATTCCAGAATAATATGCATTATGATATTTATTAACCTATACTTTGCTATAAAAAAAATGCCCAATTGCCCTGGCTGGTGAGGCTCAGTTGGTTTAGGGTTATCTCATACATCAAAAGGTGGTAAGTTCAATTCCCCATCAGGGCACATTCCCATGTTGTGGGTTTGATCCCTGGTTGGAGCACCTACAGGAGGCAACTGGCTGATGTTTCTCTAAGATCAATTAAAAACAAAAACCTGCCCAAGGTAAAAAAAAAAAATCTTTGCTAAATATCAAATGTCATTTTGTATAATAACATCTAACTTTCACTATCTTTTACTTTGAAGAAATTTGCCTGTTTCTATGGCATGATAATCAACAACTAATTTTATTTTACTATGAATTTTTAAAATTTCAATATATATCAAAGAAATGTACTGGATAATTCAAATTCTAACACTATTTTACTTGCAAAATCCATATATGACTTCAGCATTTCTCTATATTTACAGGCAAGTAAGTAGAGAGGGAAACGTGATACACTACAGGACAATTAGCAAATCATTCAGGTCGCTGACAGTTGCTAAACCTTCTTATTTCCATCTCACTATTCTCTCTCATGCCCCAACACTGCCCTTCATTCATATAAAGATCTCTATCTTCCCATTATCTTCTTTCATATTCTATCCCTTCTAGAATCTATAGAATTCTACATCTCCTCTGCACCCAGAACCTGATTCTGAGAGCTGACTAGGCCCAGAGTAATTCAGTCAGTTGTGTCATACACTTACCGATCTTTCAGCTTAACAATAACCCACAACCTTCGGACCAACTTCACTTACCGATCTTTCAAAAGCAACAGCAAACTATGGTAAGGAACCCTCAGGTCATTTCTCTCATCACTATGTAACACTTTACCACAGAAATACCACAAACCTCACTAAATTTTGATTGCCTATTTAAAAAGTAGCATTTGTCTTATTTTAAAAACATAGTATAGATTCTTCATACTTGCAAACAATAGACTTATTCTTAGAAAAGTATATATATATTTATATATATTTATTTATTTATTTATTATGTTATTTATTATTTATATATATATTTATTATTATGTTATTATTATTATTTTAGAGGTCAATAGTAATGTTTTGGTAAGTGAATTATATATATATATATATAAAACATTGCTATCGACTTCTAAAATACGAAATGCATGTCATTGTCAGGCTTAAAACCCATCAGGGACTTCTATAACATTCGATTAAAATAGCCCTGTCTTTCTCTTCAATCCATTTCATGAAGCTCTCATCCTCCCACACAGTGTGCACTGAAGTGGCTTCTAACAGCAATAGGTATACATGGCTTCTTCCTAGCCTAATCTTATTTATAAGTATCTATATAATAAAAGGCTAATATGCAGATTATCCCCTTAGGAGTGTAAACGACTGGGAGTTCAACTGCTCACTATGACATGTGTTGCCCACCAGGGGGCGGCATGGAACAAAGGAAGGCCCTGGCTGGCAGCTGGCAACTAGAGGAAGGCAGGCCTGATTGGCCCTGAATGCGCAGCCAGACCTAGGGACCCTACCCGTGAATGGATTTCGTGCACTGGGCCCCTCGTATTTAACTAATATCTTAGGAAAAAAGAAACACTCTATTAAGTGTATATTCTTTTTACTAAACAAGATTATTATATAGGAACATAATTATGTTATTATATTATTATTATTTATTATATAGGATACCTACAAATAAGCTTATTTTACATATGATTCTGCAAAACATACAGCACTTCATTAGTACATATACGAATTGGCCAATTCGTGTGTACATAAGGATAATTTCTGAGGTCCTGAACATTCATTTATTGTCAAAAGACTTGCTGGCTTTAAGAGTTGTTTCACTTCTGTTGATATGTCATACATTTAAGGAAAATGAAATTTTCTGAATCACTGCTATATGCTTCAGAATTTTTCTGTCAGTTGGCACTGAAGGTGGTAAGGAGTTCAAAATCAGCATAATGGATTATGAAAAGCAGTCTGTTACTATGATACTATGTAATTGTCGATCTATGAAAATGACTCAAAAATCTTTAGCTTCTGAATGTTCAAAAAGCTTTTAGTCAAATATTGAGTATATGTACTATTTTGAACATCTTACTTACAGTGTAGCCACAGAATTGCTCAAATTTAAGTTAAAATTGTTTCCTTAGAGAGGTATTTACTTCCAAAGAAAATTCCCTTGACAGTAGACGTTTTCTTTGGACTTGGTACTGACATTGCCATATGTGTAACGGTCCTACAATCTAATTCCTCCACTCCCTGGCCCCCATTCAGGCAGTGTGCCATTTCTTACTTCTGAAGGCAATCTGGCAAGTGCAAACTACCTGTACTCTAAACACATAATATAGTTTGTTTTAAATGTTCCCATACCAGATGTTGAGAAATAAGTCTCAGGGAAAAGCTTACCTGTCCATTTTTGCTTCCTGCTGACAATAGGCTGCATAAGAAATGATGTTTTCATGGCTGCACCTCTCGGTGGCCAGAGCACCAACATAAAGAACAAAGTCAGCATCTCGGACCCCCTCTTGGTCTGGCACACCCACTGCTCCACAGGGCCACTTACCCCCACGGCAGACCCTGCATTGCTGCACCCAGGGGGGCAGGGAGGAGGCAACAGAAAATCAGACCAAAGACAAGATTAGCTGTGGAGACTTTTATAATAACTTACAGTGAATCTAGACTCTGAACATATATAATTTAATTTTTATTTATCCTTCAAATTTATCAAAATCCATACCTCCTTCTACTCACTTCTTGTCTCTACTAGTAACTCTGAATTCATTTTACTAAAATTTCTACTTTATGTAAAATAATCATAAATCTATAATTTTACCTCAAACAAATAATTGCTACTTCTAAGCAGCAGCCAACCAGGATGCAAAACAGAAATATAAAAGGGAGCCCCTTATACATTTTTTTTGCAGCTTCCTATAAATCTATAGTTATTTTATTTCAAAATAATTTTAAGCATTTAAAATGTAAATATATTTCCTACAATAAGTAATTCATGTATCTTCTTAAAAATTCAACTACAGAAGTATATAAGGTAGCCTGGCTTTATGGCTTGGTGGTTAGGCATCGACCTATGAACCAGGAGATCACAGTTGGATTCCTAATCAGGGCACTTGCTGGGGTTGCTGGCTTGATCCCCAGTGGGGGATGTGCAGGAGGCAGCTGATCAATGATTCTCATCATTGATGTTTCTATCTCTCTCTCCCTCTTCTTTCCTCTCTGAAATCAATAAAAATATATATTTTTAAAAAAACACACTTTTTGGTAACACAGATTCAAAATTTCCCCTAAAGTTATTCTAAAGAATAAAAACATTGCTTGAAAAAGAGAAAAAAAGAAAGAAAAACTATAGGGCAGAAAAACAAAAAGCACTGCTAATAGCAGGCTGAACTACCTGGAGGTGCTCTTCAGGCACTATAACGGGGCCACACTTTGTGTGCTCTGCACATTCTCCTGTACAGTATCTGTGGGGATCATTTTCCTTCCGTAGGTATTGGTTTGTTGCACATTGTCTTCAGTTCATTTGAACATCGAAGTTTAATTGCCAAAAAGAAAAAGAAAAGGGGGAAAGAGGGGGGAAGAGTTCACAGCAGTCAAAGACATCATAAAAAACTAGTAACAGCTATATTAGCTCACTAAAAGTTACTATATTAGTTAGAAAAGTGGACTAAAAAAAAAAATTGGTTTCATGGGAAATCCTCCTGATCTGAGTTTTCAAATACCCAAATATTTCACAAAACCAATACTGCAGGCAAAGAAGGAGGGAGAAAGGGGATGTACCAAGCAGGGGACAACTACACCCTAGGAAAAAACCTAGTAGATCACTATATATTAGAAAATCAGGAAAAGAATAATTATCCAACAGATGCTTTTGTATGATATTATTTTTAAAATAGCTTGTATTTTGGTCTTTAAAAAAATCATAATAAAATATTCTAGTATAAATTTCATAATTTTCCATACTGTTAAAATGGGGAGGGCAGAGTACTAAATAATCTGTGTTTAAAGTGACATACCTGCTAAGTAAGATAGTGCCCGCAGGTCTACGAACCTGAAAAGTCTTCTCTAAGTAAGAAATAGCTTGTGGAAAAAGTTTGTTCTAAATAAAAGTTAAACAAAGAAAACAAGCAGAATTATAATCAAAGTATAAATTACATTTAAAACAAGTACACATAAGATTTATCATTATTATTTTCCCCTGAGGGGGGAAAAAAAAGGAAAAACCCTTATAATTCTGGAATACAGGTATTAATTATGTAAAGGTTACATGACAAGGAGTAGAGGGAAGAGTAAATACATCTAGGAACAAAGGAATTTCCTCATTTTCTAGATGAGTTTGGGGAAAGAACACTAGCTGGAAACTTTCTTCCCTACTTCTATGTAAATAGAATATTAGAAAACATAAATCTGAACTATTAATCTAAAGTACTTAAAGTTTGGGACTGAGTTAGTTGGTTCCAACATCATGGTAGTTTATCTTAAGAAAATCTTATGTTTAGAAAATTTACTTTAATATTGATTATTTCTGTGAATGAACTGGCTTAACATGTGTGTGCGACTCTCTGTAACAGTTTAAAAAACTAATGAGGTTAGCACTTATATAAACAACGTTGGCATATCATACTTTCAGGTTAATTAATCTTCAGGAGAAAAAGCATTTCCACAATGGTATTTTCAATGCATTTCCAAAAACTCAGCTTTTTGTACACTATCCTCCATATGTTCTGCTCCCCCAAAACTTAAGAAAATGAGAATTTAATATCAAACACAAATGAAGTCTTGGTGAGTGCATAACAAAAACACCTTTGGTGAAAATGACAAATACATTTATCAATTCACTACCAACATCTTGTATTCAGTCATTCACAAAAGTCATGTATAATATATAGCTTTCTTTACCGCAGTAGAATTTACATACAATAAAATATACTCGTTTTAAGTACCCAATTCAAACCATGAGTATTTATTACCTACCTTAACAAGGTATCTTTTTTCAGGGAGCAACCTGAAAGAAGTGACAATATGAAAGATAAGAATTGCCATCCTGGGCAGAGCACTGTCTCACTTATTCAGAATACATCTGGTAGGAGCCCCAAGGAATGCTTTGTGGAAGAAGAATGCAGTATTAAGCCCTCAAAATTTAAATTAATTACAATGAGTCTTTGAGAGTTCATTCTGTGACAAAGCACAGTGCTAGGCATGATCATACGCTATTTCATTCATTTGGAAAGTTAAAGATAGTGAAGGATATCAACTACTCTTAATAGATTTTTATAAATTTTACAAAATTCATGCCCTGGGGCGGGAGCGGGGAGGGCAGCCTCAGCCTGGCCTGTATCCTCTCGCAGTCTGGGAGCCCATCGGGGATGTCCAACTGATGGCTCAGGCCTGCTGGCCACGGGAAGTGGGCCTGACCTGGCAGTCGGACAGCCTTAGCGCTGCCGAGGAAGCAGGAGAGGCTCCCGCCACACCCCGCTGTCAGTTGTGAGCCCAGCTCAGGGCTTCTGGCAGAGAGGCACAAGTGTACCGGCCACCAGGGGGCAGCTCCTGCACTGAGCACCTGCCCCCGGGTGGTCAGTGTGTGTCACAGAGATCTGTCATTCTGCTGCTCAGTGGACTTGCATATTAGCCTTTTATGATATAGGACTATAGATTGTCCTGGACAGTGTGGCTGTTGGTTGGGCATCATCTCCTGTACTAAAAGGTTGCTGATTCAATTCCCCGTCAGGGCACATACACGAGTTGTAGACTCAATCCCTGGTGGGGGGCGTACAGGAGGCAGCCCATTAATGTTTCTCTCTCATCCCATTCTCCTTTCCTTTCTCTCTAAAAATCAATAAAAAATATTTTTTAAAAACCTACTATAGATTCATAATTTACATGTTTTCTGGACTACTCTTACACTAAATAAAAAATTTAGACTATACCACCTCTCTGGTGAATAATTTTGTAAATGTTCTTATTAATACATACATATATATATATATATATATATATATATATATATATATATATGCACTTCCTCTTATTTTTCTTCCAAGTACTTATTGAGGAGGTGCCTTCTGGGTCTGTTATTGACCACATCCAAAGAGATTCACATTTGTTCTGTTCAAATTATGCATAACATATAGATTTTTTTAAAATAGGTTTTTATTGATTCTTAGAGAGAGAGATAGAAACACAGATGAGCCGAAACTGGTTTGGCTCAGTGGATAGAGCGTCGGCCTGCGGACTGAAAGGGTTCGATTCCGGTCAGGGGCATGTGCGTTGGTTGCGAGCACATCCCCAGTAGGGGGTGTGCAAGAGGCAGCTGGTCGATGTTTCTCTCTCGTCGATGTTTCTAGCTCTCTGTTTCTCTCCCTTTCTCTCTGTAAAAATCAATAAAATATATTTAAAAAAAAAAAAAGAAAGAAAGAAAGAAAGAAACACAGATGAGAGAGAAACATCATTGACTGGCTGCTTCCTGTACACCCCTAGTAAGGATCAAGCCCTCAACCCGGGCATGTGTCCTGACTGGGAATAGAACCCATAACCTCTTGGTGCATTGGTTGATGCTCAACCACTGAACCACACCAGCTGGACATGATGTACAGATTTTGATCATATCCCATGGCTATCATCTTTCCAAATTAAAAAGCATTTTTAGATTAATTCTATCTTTAAGATGCACTGGCTCTGAGTTGAATCTATGGAACTTCAGATAACAGATAAAAAATACCTTTAAAAGTTTGATTCTTACCCTAATTGGTTTGACTTAGTGGATAGTACTGGCCTGTGGACTGAAGGGTCCCTGGTTTGATTCTATCAAGGGCATATGCCTGGGTTGCAGGCTTGATCCCCAGTAGGGGGTGTGCAGGAAGCATCAATGATTCTCGTCATTGAAGTTTCTATCTCTCTCTCCCTCTCTGAAGTCAATTAAAATTTTTTTCTTTAAAGTTTAATTCTTAATAAAAAAGATCACAAAATAATGATGTACTTACTCTTCAATACTTTTATCATAGACAGTCTTGATTCGCAAATGTTCATCAACATCTCTCTTTACAACATGATTTGCTTTAAGATGGACCTTATTTATGACCTGAAAAAAAGGAATAGATTTAAAGTTTTTTTAAAAAGATATTGTACAGATTAATCGATTGAGGTCATAATGTAAAATTAATAAACTAAATTTCAACTGTAATACCCAGAATAAAAATAAAGAATGAATAGAGAGATATTTCCTATTTATGGATAAACTCAACTTGATGTATAGATTCAAAGTAATCTCAATCAAAATCTAACAGGTTATATTGTGGATATAGATCAACTGATTCTAAAAATTTATATAAATAGGTAAACGACCCAGAATAGCCAACACAATATTGAAGAAGAACAAAGTTAGAGGACTGACACTACCTAACTTCAAGACTTACTATAAAGCTACAGTAATCAAGACAGTGTGGTACTGGCAAAAGCAGAGGCAGACCAATAGAACAGAATAGATAGACTAGAAACAGAACCCCATAAATACAGTCAACTGAGCTTTGACAAAGAGAAAAAAGGTAACACAATGAAGCAGAAAATCTTTTCAACAAATGGTGTTAGAACAACTGGATATCCATATGGGGAAAAATGAATCTAGACACACACCTAACATTCTTCATAAAATGAACTCAAAATGGACTGTAGATCTAAATATAAAATGCAAAACAATAAGACTCTTAAAAGATGCAATAGGAGTGAACCTAGATGACCTTGGGTATGGCAATGACTTTGTAGATATAGCACTAACGGCATGGTCCATGAATGAAATAATTGATAAATTCAACTTTATTAAAATTAAAAGCTCTGCTTAGTGAAAGATAATGTCAAGAGAATAAAAAGTTAAGTCATGATAGAAGAAAATATTTGCAAAAATATCTGAAAAGGGACTATTATCCAAAATATAGAAAGAACTCTTAAAATGAAACGATTATGAAAACAAACAATCTAAAGAGGGGGAAGGAGGGTAGAAGAGGGTATAAGGAGGATAAATGCTGATGGAAGGAGACTTGACTTGGGGTGGCAAACACATAACACAATACACAGATTATTATAGAATTGTACATCTAAAACCTACATGATTTTTAAAAAATACATTCTTATTGATTCCATAGAGGAAGAGAGAGAGAAAAACCAATAAGAGAAAATAATTGATGAGCTGCCTCCTGCACATCCCCAACTGGGGACCTAGCACACAACCCAGGCATGTGCCTTGACTGGGAATCAAACTGCAACTTCCCTGGTTCATAAGTCAATGTTTAACTACTGAGCCAAGCTGTCTGGGCTGAAAGCTATATAATTTTATTAACCAATGTCACCCTGATAAATTCAACAAAAATGTTAAAAAAGAAAAAGAAAACAAACAACCCAGTGTTTTAAATGGCTAAAAACTGTCCTGGCTGGTATGGCTCAGTTGGTTGCCAGTTGGATTCCTAATCAGGGCACATGCCTGGGTCCAGGTTACAGGCTTCATCCCCTATCGGGGGCGTGCTGGAGTCATCTAATTGATATTTCACTCACACTGATATTTTTCTCTCTCTAAAAATTAATTTTAAACTCTAAAAAGAAAAAAAAAAAAGGCCAAAAAGTTTAATAGTCATTTCACTGAAAAAAATATACAGATGGTGCCCTGGCTGAGTAGCTCAGTCAGTTGGAGCATTTTACTGATGCTCAAAGATTGTACATTTGACTCCTGGTCAGGGCACATATAAGAGTCAACCAATAAATGCATAAATAGAAAAACAAAAATCTATATTTCTCTCTCTCTCTCTCTCTCTAGCCCAGACTAATATTCTTTTTTTTAAAAAATATATATTTTATTGATTTTTTTTACAGAGAGGAAGAGAGAGGGATAGAGTTAGAAACATCAATGAGAGAGAATCATCGACCAGCTGCTTCTTGCACACCCCCTAATGGGGATGTGCCCGCGACCAAGGTACATGCCCTTGACCGGAATCGAACCCGGGACCTTTCAGTCGGCAGGCCAATGCTCTATCCATTGAGCCAAACCGGTTTCAGCCTAATATTCTTAATAGTGGAAAACTAAATACTTTCCCAGTAAGATCAAGTATATCTATTCTCACTATTCTTATTCAACATCATATTGGATGTATTATACTATCCAGAATAATAAAAGCATATGCTAATTAGACCAAACAGCCAAACAGCCTTCCGGACGAAGCCAGGGCTGCGAGGGCTGAGGCAAGCTGTTGAGGCTATAAGGGCTGAGCCCTTTACACAAATTTTGTGCATCAAGCCTCTAATTATACATAATAGTCATTATAAGACAAAATCAACATTAAATATTTAAAACTAGAGGCCCGGTGCATGAAATTTGTGCACGGGGGTGTGTGTCCCTCAGCCCAGCCTGCACCCTCTCCAATCTGGGAACCCTTGAGGGATGTCTGACTGCCCATTTAGACCATATCCTACCAGGATTGGGCCTAAATGGGCAGTCAGAGATCCCTCTCACAATCCAAGCTCCCAACTGTTTGCCTGCCTGTCTTCCTGATTGTCCCTAACTGTTCTGCCTGCCAGCCTGATCACCCCCTAACCACTCCCCTGCCAGCCAGATTGATGTCTAACTGCTCTCCTGCCTGCCTGTTTGCCCCCAACTTCCCTCCTCTGTAGGCCTGGTCACCCCCAACTGCTCTCTCCTGTAGGCCTAGTCACCCCCAACTGCTCTTTCCTGCAGGCCCTGTCCCTCCCAACTTCCCTCCTCTGCCGCCTCGTGACCCCTAACTGCCCCTCCCCTGCTGGCCTGATCGCCCACAACTGCCCTCCCTTGCAGGCCTGGTCCCTCCTAAATGCCCTTCCCTGCTGGCCATCTTGTGTCTACATGGGGGCAGTCATATTGTGTGTTGGAGTGATGGTCAATCTGCATATTATTCTTTTATTGGATAGTATAAAGCCTGGTGCATGGGTGAGGGCTAGCTGGTTTGAGGGGGCTATGAGGGGGCATGCTGGAGTCATCTAATTGATGGATGTCCCGGATCAGGGTAGGGGTTACCTTGGGGGATGGAGCAGCCTAGGCAAGGGGCCTGTGATGTTTTGCAGGCCAGCCATGCCCCCCAGTGACTCAAGTGGAGGCCCTGGCATCTGGGATTTATTTATTTTTTATAATTGAAACTTTGTAGCCTTGAGCAAAGGACAGGGCTGGCCAGGGCTGGCAGAAAGCTTGGCTTCCTCCATTGCCAGGGGAAACCCAAGCCTCCAGCTGGCTCCAATTCTGTGGCTGCCACCATTTTTGTTGGGATTTATTTATCTTCTATAATTGAAACTTTGTAGCCTTAAGTGGAGGTCAGGGCAGCCGTGGCAGGTGGAGAGCTTGGCTTCCTCCACCGCCGGGGACAACCCAAATCTCCTGCTCCCTCCAGCTCTGTGGCCACCACCATATTTGTTTATATAATTTGCATACTCACTCCTGATTGGCCAGAGGACATGGCTTATGGGTGTAGCAGAGTGATGGTTAATCTGCATATTACTCTTTTATTAGATAGGATAAGCAAAAGATGAAGCCTGGCTGGTGTGGGTCAGTGGTTGAATGTTCACCCATGAATCAGGTAGTCACCATTCAACTCCCGGTCAAGGCTCATGCCTGAGTTTTGGGCTCGATCCTTAATAGGGACCATACAGAAGGCAGCAATGAATGATTCTCTCTCATTATTGATGTTTCTAGCTCTCACTCTCTCTTCCTCTCTGAAATCAATAAACACCCCTCTCCCCCCCCACATACACACACACACACACACACACACACACACACACACACATATATATATATATATATATATATATATCCACACATATACATATATAGTGTGAGAGAGTGAAACATCAATTAGATGACTCCAGCATGCCCCCTCATAGCCCTGGCTTCGTCTGGAAGGCTATTTGGCTGTCTGGTCTAATTAGCATATTATGCTTTTATTATTTAAGATGTATATTATAATCCCTAAAGCAAGCACACACACACATACACACAGCACAAAAGGTTAAATGTGAGAGAATGTAAGCTCTAATTATAAGCAAGCTGAAATGGCTACATTAATATCAGACAAAATAGACTTCAAGAAAGGGCCAGGAATAGAGTAAAATTTTATAATGAAAACTTATACAAGTAGACAGGTTAAATACAATAGAAAGACAATTATACATTTGAATCCATCTAAGAATGGATTCAAAATCCATGGAGCAAAAGCTGAAAGAACCAAAGGAAGAATAATTTATAATCTTAGAGGTTTTTAAGACCCTGACAATTAGGCATAATTTGTAAGAATATATTAATCTGAAGTACACTGTCAATCATCACATCTTATGAGATGTATAGAAACCTGCACACAATAACTATAGAATATATATCCTTTACAAGTACAGATAAAAAGTTAAACTGGTTAAAGAATATGCTGAAGTATATATAAAACAATCTCAAACTTTAAAGTGCTGAAATCTTACAAAAGATACTCTCTAAATTAGAAATTACTAACATAAGGTAGCTAGAAAAGGACCAAATATTTATTTATTTTTTTTTTTTTTTATTTTTATTTTTATTTTTTTTTATTTTATACAGAGAGGAAGAGAGGGATAGAGAGTGAGAAACATCGATGAGAGAGAGTCATCGATCAGCTGCCTCTTGCACACCCCCTACTGGGGATGTGCCCGCAACCAAGGTACATGCCCTTGACCGGAATCGAACCCGGGACCCCTCAGTCCCCAAGCCGACGCTCTATCCATTGAGCCAAACCGAAAGGACCAAATATTTAGAAATTATATTTTAAACATATTTTTAATAACCCATGGATCAAAGAAGAAATTATCCGGAAAAATAAAAACACTTTTTGAACTAAACAATAATTAAAATACAATGTGTCAAAATCTGTGAGGTGCAGCTAGAGTTGTAGGTACTTAGAGCAAAATTTGTATCTTTGAATGTTTATATTAGAAAGAATAAAAAGCTACGTTTCCACTTAACAATATGAACAAAGTAACTATAATAAGTAGGAAGAGGAAATAATAAAGAACAAAAAACAATAAAATAGATAACCATCTTTAAAGATAACTACAAAAACCAACAGTTGGTTATTATAATGATTAATAAAATTAATAAATCCCCTACCCAAACTGGACTATGATAAAACAGAATAAACACCAACTGCAGCATTAGAAATAAAAGAGTAGATATTACTCCAGATTCTATAGACACTGAGAGATAATTTTTTTTAATATTTTTTATTGATTTTTTACAGAGAAGAAGGGAGAGAGAGAGCTAGAAGGGAGAGAGAGAGCTAGAAGGGAGAGAGAGAGCTAGAAGCGTAGATGAGAGAGAAACATCGACCAGCTGCCTCTTGCACACCCCCTACTAGGGATGTGCCTGCAACCAAGGTACATGCCCTTGACCAGAATCGAACCTGGGACCTTTCAGTCCGCAAGCCGACGCTCTATCCATTGAGCCAAACCGGTTTCGGCAATTTTTAAAAAATGTATTTTTATTGATTTCAGAGAGGGAGAGGGAAAGAGATAGAAACATCAATGATGAGAGAGAATCACTGATCGGCTATCTCTTGCACGCCCCCTACTAGGGAAGGAGCCCACAATCCAGTCATGTGCCCTTGACTGGAATTGAACGCGAGACTCTTCAGTCCCAGGCAGATACTTTATCTACTGAGCCAAACCAGCTAGGGCCAAAAGATAATTTTTAAAAATATTTGTTTCAGATGTTCAGTATAGTAGTTAGATAATTATATAATTTGTGAAGTGATTCCCCTGATAATTCTAATATCCACTTTGCCCCATACACAGTTATAATACTAGAGTCCCAGTACATGAAATTCATGCCCAGTGGGGGGTGGTTCCTCAGCCCAGCCTGCACCCTCTCCAATCTGGGACCCCTTGAGGGATGTCCAACTGCAGGTTTAGGCCTGATCCTTGCAGTTGGACATCCCTCTTGCAATCTGGGACCACTGGCTCCTAACCCACCTGCCTGCCTGCCTGCCTGATGTTCCTAATTGCTCTCCCCTGCCGGCCTAATCACCCCTAACCACTCTGCCTGCCTGCCTGCCTGCCTGCCTCCCTAATCGTCCCTAACCACCTCAAACCTGCCACTAAGGGCTTGCTATTACATACCCTATCAAGAACTAGGAAAATTTACTAGGGATGAGAACTCTCAAGAACTTAATAGCTTGCTTTTAATACCTGAAGCACTATCACTACCAAGTTTTTTCAGCTGAGAGGCATACACAGGAATGGGGTGAGGATGGTGGAAATTTCAAAAAGAGTTTTCAGCTCTTATGATAAAGAAAAACTTTAACAATGTTGATCTCCAAAAAACATAAGGGCTGCCTCTGGAGATAAAGTCTCTATTCATGGAGATGTTCAAATAGAAGGTGGAGATTGATACATTGGCACAATCACTAGAAGAAAACAGATATTAAGTTTCCTTCTAGCAGAGGTTTTCTAGATCTTTGAACTACTTCCTATTATGATGATTATTATTTCCTCTTATTTTAAGCTAGATTAAAAGGGAGAAGCACAGGGCTTTGTGGGAATTTTTTAAAAAGAGGGATGGGAGAACAGAGGGATATGTTAAGGGTACAAACTTACACCAGTAGATAAATAAGTCCTATAGACCTAATGCACAGCATAGTGATTATGGACAACATTAATCCTGGATTATAAAAGCCTAATATGCAAATTGTCCCCTTGGGAGTTCAACAGGGAGACCGATGGCTCACTATGACATGTGCTGACCCACTAGGAGGCGGTGCAGAATGAAGGCCCCAGCCGTCAGCCTGAGGGAAGGCCCCAATCGACCCTGATCTCCAGCCAGGCCTAGGGACCTAGTGGTGCACCAGGTCTCTAGTGTATTATAAACTTAAAAGTTTCTAAGAGACTAAAAAAATAAGACAATTCAGCCAAAATGCAGTGTCATGATAAAAACTATACCGCCACAAACCACACACTTAATATTTTGACACATATGGTTGAACATTATGCATAGGAATCTTTGGAAGTTACCACATAAATTAGTGGTCTTAGATTACTAGGCTGAACTGAACATTTCTAGGTTAATATTGACAAAGCAGGAAGACAAACTGTAAAACCAACCACAACATGCAGCCCTGTCCCGGTACTGTGTCTCTTTTCTTCACAGAAGAGTAAGGGTTGTGGGCCCTCCCTCGGAGCTAAGTACTGTGAAGAATCAAAGTGATTTGAGGTTTTTTGGTGAGCAGGGTGCAAGGATGATTACCAGGTTCTTGTCCAGACAGATTCGAAGAACGAAGCCTTGGACAAAAGGTGATAGATGAGAAGTACAGAAACTGTACTGCAAGTAGATACTACCTCTTAAATTTCTAATTCTAAGACTCTGTCTCTCTTTGTCTTGAGATAGTAAATATTCTAGAGACCATTCTTTCCCTTATCGAGCCTTTCCCACCGTGGGACTTCAGCCTTGTAATCAGTTCCCAGGGCCCCTAAATCACTTCTCCTATCTGGTCATCTTATCTGTTCAGGCTGGAATTGCTTTTGATCTCCCTTAAGGCATACCCAGCTGCTCAGATCAGGGCTGCTTTTGATTAACTTAGGGTTGCTTTAATTGCTCAGGCCGTAGATACCTGTCCTTGGTTTATGGCTGCTTTCACTGCTCAGGCCAGAAATGCCTCCATCCTCCCTGAAGCCCCCGCCCCTTCCTGCCTGCCTAAGTAAGCTAGCTAGCCAACCCATTTCCCAAAAGCGTAAGACACGACCTCTATCCTAAGGAACTTTACAATTTAATACAAAGGCAAGCCGTGCCTGGAAAATAAGCCAGCATCACATAGCAATACTTGATCAAGTTACCACCGATGAGACTACAGATAAGACGCCCAGAGAAATGGAAAGAGCATCCTGCTGGGGTTGGTTTCAGCAGGCTGCCTTGAGATAAGAGAACGTAACCCAGACGGAAAGAACTGAGAGAGGAAGAAACATGGAGGTAGGCACTTCCAGGGCAGGAGAACCGGGTAAAGTAAGCAATGCGATGAGGTAACTTGAAAATAAACCTGGATTTTGTCTCCACGGAACCCCCAGTCCCCCTCCGATTCCCCCAATTAATTCCTTCCCGAACTTTTAGTTCAGTGTTTCCCGAAGTGTGGCCCATGGATAAGCAGTATTATCAACTACCTGGGAACGTGGGCTGCACATACTCTGGGGGCCCATTCCGGACTTAATGAGTCAGAAAGGGGGAAGGGGAGGGGGGTTGCAGCGACCTGTTCTAACAGCCCTCCAGGCTATGTGATGATGTTCAGGTTTGAAAACCTCCCCTCTAGGGCCGCCTCATACGCACAACTCCCCGCACAAGAACGCGATGCTGCTGCAGTGCCTAGGTCAACCGCTTAGCCGGGGACGGGAAGGAGAGGACGCCAAGGAGCTGGCTTCCTCCCCCCGTGCACCCGGTTCCAGGCTCTGCTCTGGGCCGCTGCCTCCCGCAGGACCTCGCCGCAGGCCCGCTCCCTCCCCGCCGCCCTACCTCCGCGTGCGAGGGGACGTGGTGCCGGCAGGGGGAGGAGCTGCTCAAGGAGACGGGAACGGAAGCAGCACTTGCCCGGAGCCCGCCCAACAGGAGCAAAATGCCTCGGACCCATGAAGAACCGCTCCAGAGCCACCGACTGGGGCCCGGGCTTGGACCAGAGGACCCCGAGCCTCGGCCCCAGTCGGGCGCCATCTTCGGGCTGCGCGTCGTTTCCATGGAGCGCTGGACGCGCTCACGCCGGCGCCGCCCCGCCCCTCGCCGCTAGGTGGAGGCCCAGCCGGCGGAGCTGCTTGGCGATTGGAGCACCAGCCGACCAGGAAACGCCGCTGAGCGGCTCACGTGAGAACCGATAGTAGTGACGTCGATGGCAAGGATGGTGGTGTCTGGGTCTCTAGTGAGGCAGTTTGTCTTTCACGGAACATATACACACATACTAGATGCCAAGTGGCTTGGAGCTGCAGAATTCTTTATGGTATAGCCCTCACAAAAGGTGAATGGAATATAATTTTTAATGGATTTTTTTAATATTTTGTTTTTTGAGAGGAAGTTAGAAACATCATGAAACATTAATCAGCTACCTCCTGCACACCTCCTTCTGGGGATGTGCCCAAAACCAGAATTGAACCTGGGACCCTTCAGTCTGCAGGCCTATGCTCCATCCACTGAGCCAAACTGGTTAGGGTTTAATGTATTTTTATTGATTTCAGATAGGGAGACAGAAACATCTATGAGAATCATTGATCAGCTGCCTTCTGCACACATTACCCCTCCGCCCCACCAGGGATGAAGCCCAGACCCTGGGCAAGTGCCCTGACGGTAATCAACCACTTGAGCCACACTGACCGGCTAGGCCCATTTCTTCTTAAAGTCATTTTCTATAAAGTCAACCATGTGTCTGTCCTTTACTATTCAACCCTATCTTATTTAAAACCCAAAAATTGGCCCAGCCTGCCTGGCTCAGTGGTTGAGGAACGACCTATATGAAGGAACCAGGTCACCAGAAGGTCACCGTTTGACTCTGGGTCAGAGCACATGCTCTGGTTGAGGGGCTCCATCACAGTAGCGGGCATGTGGAAGGCAGCAGGCCAATGATTCTCATGTTTCTCTCTGAAATGAATAAAAATATATTTTAAAAAATAAAACACAGGAATTGCAACTATAATTAACTCAGTAAGAGATTGGGTGGATCCTTGCCATTGAGTAAACTACCTTCAAAACTGAACAATGAGGAACTACAAAAAAAATCTGAAAACCTATAGCACATGAAAACAAAGTAATTAGGTTTTGGAAGCACTTAGCTAGAACATTCAATGAGAAGTGGATATTGTAAATTATTCTAGTTGGAAGGGTAGGGGATACAAAATCCCTAAGAATTTATATTTCATTGGTGAAGATCATGTACTCAAATAATAAGGGGTAAGACATTTTACAAATAAAGTCATCAGATAATGTGTCAACTTTGGTGGGGTAGGTAATTCAATTGGTTAGAGCATCATCTGAGTATGTCATGGTTGCAGGTCAAGACACATAATTATCAACCAATAAATATCATTCCACAAGTATAAGTTGGGATTCTAAACCAAATTTACCACTTTCACCTGTGCTCTTTCCACTACAAGACCACAAAGAAACAATAGATTATCAACAAAGAACACCTATCATCTTCGAGTTCCTGGCGTAACAGTAGTGTCAGGGTGGGAGGCTGTTTCAGTGGTCTGGTGGAAAAGCTGCTAGTCATTCAAGCTCATTTCTGTGAAACGTTGGAGTCACGCAATAGTAACTTTGGCTTGAGGACTACTTTTGCACAGACCGAACCTCATGTGGGAACAGAAAAGCGCAGACACCCTCATTTTGAAACGATGCATTACATCACTCAAAAAGAGGAATGTCCATGCAAGGCTACTTTTCAAAGCAGGCAATGCCAAGGATTGCCAGTTTTCTCTTCCCTGCTTTGCTCAAATGCGTATCAGTTCTTGTGTGTTCACTCCATTGCTTTACTATCTATCCCACTCAGAATACCACATTCACCTGACTCCTACAATGGTGACAGAAACATCCAATTTGTTGTTCCTTTTATTTATGCATCCACTGGTTCATTCTTATATGTGCCCCAACTAGCGATTGAACCCACAACCTTGGCATATTGAGACAAAGCACTAACTGAGCTACCAGGGCCACACTATTTCCTTTCCTTTCCATGAATAAGCCAGACCTGAAATATCCATCTTCCTGGACATATTCACAGCTAAGTAACCTGTCTCCTCAAAACTCAACTCCCCGACCTCTGCAAAACAAACAAAAAAACCCCATCTGGTCCCCCAACATGCACTAAGCCACATCCCAGCCGGGTGTATTCGTTTACTTGCACCGACTTGTGAAATTACGAGACCTACCCAGTATAAATTTAAAATTACTGTAATATATAGGAAAGTCTCCTGTGAAAGTGTACTTTTCATACATAATTTCAGTCACACAAATTTGTCTGGAAGGTAAACACAGGTTCACTAGTCCATTTTCTAACATAAGCCTCTGGAAAACCATTTACTATATAACAAAGGGACTCAGCTATAAAGGGATCCCCCTGCCCAGAGTAGTCCATTACATTGAGGTCAATCACTAAGACTGATTACAAATACAAGCCCGTTTCTGTGAATCATGGCCTCTTCCAAAAGCAAACTTGGCTTGAAGACTTATCACTGGATTAACCTTCCCCAGATTGGGTGCCTGTAGTACCCAATCCTAATCCTTTCCTAGAGCCTCTCTTTCAAAGGTCTTTCACACCACAATGCACTTTTAGCATGCTGTCTCCCAGCATCAATTTAGGGAGCCCAAATACTAATGAAAATTTTAGTAAGAGGGGCTGTTTTGCAAACTCCATTTATTCCCATGGGATGTCAAGATTTGTTAATAAAGGACTGTTACTGCACCAATTTACAACCACCATATTACAAACTGATGAACTCGGTTCAAACTTTTTAAAAATATATATTTTATTGATTTTTTACAGAGAGGAAGGGGAAGAGCTAGAGAGCTGGGAACATCAATGAGACATCGACCAGCTGCCTCTTGCACACCCACTACCGGGGATGTGCCCGCAACTGATGTACATGCCCTTGACCTGAATAGAACCTGGGACCCTTCGGTCTGCAGACCTACGCTCTGCCGCTGAGCCAAACCGGTTTCTGTCAGTTCAAACTTTTATTTCAACATTTTAAGATTCAAAATACTCTGCAGCCCTGCTTAATCTCATTATGCTAAAATCCCAATCCTGCCCTTTTATATTAAAACATAGAGCCAAATAAAGCTACTCATGAGGCAACACCAACCCTGACATCCCGCCCCACACACACAGATAATGGAGGCATGTAGCATTATTTTGACATTTCCAACCAATTATTCCCATTTGTGATGTACTTGAATGCTTTGTCATCACAGTGCCAAGGATATCTCATCCCTGCCTAGCCAGCAGGCTGCCAAAACCATCACTATAGTCTCCATTCAAATTTCTTCCAACTACCTTTTTTAAGTCACAAGTTTTCCACCCAATCTATTGAACAGTGCATACTATTACAAGGTATTTGAAAAGATCAATGTTTCTTCACCGACTCTCAATCTAATCTGGGAGGCGGTTCCCAGAATATTTAGTAAAATGCAGTACCAAAGAAATAAACTGTTACATGGTGCTTACCTAAACTGGCTAAATTTGGCTTCTGTACTTCCTGGAATATGCTATGTCTCCAATTGTCCAAAAGTTTATCAGAGGTTAGGTTTAAGTACTCCATCACTTTCCAATATACTTCTTTTTCACTGTCCCCAAAGTTAACTTGTTCCCTCTCTCCATTAACTTGTAAGGCCTGATACATTATTCCTATCTAGTTGTTTAAATCTCTGTAATCATCACTACATACAGCCCTCTGGCTTCCTAGTATACTCTGAAAATGCCTGACAACTGCCACCATTTAAGCACATAGCAAGTGAATTTAGGGTATGTGATTTTTAAGCCATTTGACCAAAACACATGAAAACAAATCCATTTTATTTATTTTCAGTAAGTTTAAATCCTTGAGGGGTACAGCATCTGGAGGGGGAAAAAGAAAATGTCATTAGGTGCACATTATATATACAAATTTACAAATGCCATTAGTAACACAATATGGATAAATCTCCCATCGTCCCATTACTCATCTCTAAAAGGCATCCAATGAGTTATATGTAGGTAGGGGGAGGAACCAAGTTTTTATGGCCTTCAATTTTTAGGTGAACATGTTACTTTGCACTAGGGTTCAAAAGTACCCCAAGTGGCCCAAGACTATTAAAAATAGATACTAATTGCCCTGACCGGTGCACTGCAAGGCTTTAGGTTCAATTCCTGGTTAAGGACACAGACCTGGGCTGTAGGTTCATTCCCTGTTCCTGGTCGGGGTGCTGTCAGGGTGCATGAGGGAGGCAACCAATGTTTCTCTGCCCTTGACCAGGAATCAAATCTGGGACCCTTCTGTAGGCCACTGCTCTATCCCCGGAGCCAAACCAGCCAGGGCCAATGTTTCTCCCTCCCTCCCTGCCACCCATTCACTCTGTCTAAAAATAAATATTCTATGGGCCCAGCTGGCATGGCTCAGGGGTTGAGCACTGATCTATGAACCAGTTGGGGCACATGCCCAGGTTTCCTATTTGATCCCCAGTGTGGGCCTGCAGGAGGCAGCCAATCAATGATTCTCATCATTGATGTTTCTATCTCTCTCCCCCTCTCTGAAATCAATAAAAATATTTTTAAAAATCTGGTAGGATTAACAAAAACATGTTTTCTTCTACAAAATAAGACTAAACACCTAATCTAATAAAACTGTCAAAAGACCGGAAAATATTAGTAATTATGCCAGAAAATGGCATGTTTTCAATTTTTTAGCAACTATTTTATTGTCCAATACATGTCTTTGCCAGGAATTTGTTCATTTATTTTATTTTGCTGATTTTTTCGTAGAGAGAGGAAAGGGAGGGGACACAAAAAAACATTTATCTACTGCCTCCTGCACATGCCCCAACCAGGAATAGAACCCCAAACCTGGGAATTGAACCCACTACCTTTGGTGCCCTGAATGATGCTCCAATCAAATGAGCCACACCAGCCAGGGCAGAAAATTATTCATTTAAATATCATTCCCTCCACAAAGCTTCAGCAAAATCTAAAATCTAGGCATAATTCACTTGAAAAATTT